GTTGGGCGGTGGGGTCGCCTAGTGGTTAAGCGTTCGCTCGTCACGCTGAAGACCCGGGTTCGATTCCCCACATGGGTACATTGTGTGAAGCCCATTCCTGGTGTCATGCATGATATTGCTTAAATATTGCAAGAGTGTGTTTACACTATCGTTCAAGCTTACGACCAAACCAGAAGTTGGCCCGTGGATATTTTTACACGCTCTGCGCATGCGCACAGCGAGTCGAAAATTAATGTGAAACCAACGAATGGGAAGACTTGTCATTTTCTCTTTGTTGCACAGCCCTATTTGCGCTACAATTTGCCTGTGATTCATTCGTCACCATGCACTCTACACGAATGGGTCACGTATGTGTTTGACTAGATGCAGCCCCGTGTCTTGTCTGTCTCTATCGTCTCCACTGCAAGGAATGGGAAGTTACAACTGCCAGCCACACGCAGCCCATGGCCTCCAGTATGAGATCTATAAGCCTCTTACAGGTACCAGTTTACCTGAGCACGATACAGCTGCACGGCCAATACCCTGCTGGCCATGCACTATAAGTATTTATCACACGGCAGGCTCGTGGCTCATGGCGACTATGAGTTGACATCAATACTATCGCTAAGATCCAGCATGAATTACTGACTTGTCAGGGAAAGCTGCATTGACATTACTCGCACAGAGACGACAATCTCTACAGAAATATTCACTTCCAGTGGAATTTGGGAATCGCCGTGTCATTCGAGTGAGTGAGCTGAGTTTTACGCCGCTTTAGCAATATTCCAGCAATATCACGGCGGGGGACACCAGAAATGGGTCTCATACATTGCACCTATGTGGGCAAGCGAACCCGGGTCTTCGGCGGGACGAGCGAATGGTCTAACCACAAGGCTACTCCACTGTCCCCGTGTCATTTCAAATCCCGCCTAGTTAATTCCCTGGGTACGCAGTCTGTCTTATAGTTCCTGAACCACACTGTCTTCCCAACTCCCTAGCCCTTTCTGCAATGCTAAAGCCCTAAATGAAGCAATTCCTGTTTCATCAGGCTCTGAATATCCCATCTCACTGGGTCTCCTTTTCAAATTGAAAGGAATTATTTGTTTCTATCAAAATTATAAATACCGGTATTTTAGAGCGTTAGTCTATCTGGGTAGGTTAGGCAGGTTTCAGTGTAGCGCCAGCGCAGCTTACAGAGGGAACCAAATCCTGCTCGTCAGTCAGTTTTATTGGCAGTGATGACGCACCTTTACCAAGCTTCCTGTATCATGCTGTTACCATGGTTACCACTGCAATAAAATGTTTGACAACAAACATTGTATAATGAGGCACGGGTTCAATATGTACCCTGTTGTCTCTGTTGGTACATTCTAGTTAGAATAAGTCACTCCCGCAGGTATAGCAGAATCTGAGGGAAATCTACACTTGCTTCGTTCATGGCTTCTGCATTGAAGACGGAGAACGCAGAAGGGAAATGGTGTGGTTCAGAGATTGGCTGAATGAGACAGACTATAAAAGTGAGTGGATGAGTGCGTGAGTTTCTTTTAGTGAGTGAGCGAGTATGGTGATATACGCCGCTTTTAGCAATACTCCAGCAATATCACGGCGGGGAACACCAGAAATGGGTTTCACACATTGTGCCCATGTAGGAAATCGAACCCGGGTCTTGGCATGATGAGCAAATGCCTTGTACTCATGTGAGGAATCGAACATGGGTCTTCAGCGTGACGAGCCGACCCTTTAACCATTAGACTACCCCAGGCCCCTTTCTTTTAGTGGCGTACAAACGTTTGGCCTCCGCCAAGCTTGAATTCAAAAGGTGCTCTCTCCTTTGTCATTGCCTGTAGGTATTTTGATATATTGATACGTACACACTTTAGTTAAATTCCAAGTTGTGGTTGTTTTAAAACCCAAATTGTTTGTGAGTGAGCGAGTTTAGCTTTAGGCCGTGTTCTGCAATATTCCAGCAATATCACGGCGGGGGACACCAGGAATGGTCTTCAAACATTGTACCCACGTGTGGAATAACGAGCGAACGCGTTAACCACTAGGCTACCCCACCGCCCCCAAAATATTTTCTGGTAATACACTGGAGGGAAAACACGACTGAAATCTAACAGTATGCATAGGCGGATCCAGAGGGGGGGGTGCAGGGGTGAAAGTTTGTCCTGAAAGTTTATTAAATGACCATTGAAACGCGGGTAAAAATGAAGTGTGCACCCTCCCTTTTCTCAACAGTGTGCACCCCCCCTTTCTCAAAAAGCTGTATCCGCCCCTGGTATGAGGGACTACTTTGTTACCCAAAGCATTGTCAGTGATTTCGCGTCCGTAGGATTCTCACAAAAATGGTTGCTTGTCTTAGTGACACATGGCCAACTACAGAGACCGTCCGCACGAGAAGTTGTGGTGCTGTATTAGTGCTCCCTTTAAGATATAATAAGTAATGTTTTCTTCCAATAACATCAGTAACTTAATCCCTGGTATCTTTATCTGGTAACAGATACCATTACTTAGTTTTCGGGAGCACTTCAGAATTCAGCACCCCAATTTCTCGTGCGGACGGTCTCTGCCGTATGTCACATCTGTCGCTGAGCTGTACGACGCAAACGCGAATCCTTCGTTAGGCCGACAGCTAACCCACTGAGCTACGCCCACACTGTTACTTGTTGACCGTTTACTAATATTTTGGGTTATTATTAAAGACTTGTAACTTGTAACCAGAAGTATTTGTGAATCCTTTGTAATGACATTCTTAATTGCATTTTGATGTCAGAATAGATGAATTTAATCAAATATATTTGATATCTTTAACTGAGTTTTTAAGACACACGAAACCAAAGTACTTTCTAAATGTAAGTGAAAAGGACTTGCCTAATATAAAGAGAGCTTGATATTTGGCGTTTTATATGACTTTGACGTCATCGTCTGCGTCACCTAAGCGAGATGACGTCATAATAGTCATCTACTCCGTAACCCTCCATGTCTGGATTAGTTTTTATCATGTTAGCTTCTTGTTTCCAGTGCCCAGCTGAAGAAAAACTGTTTTGACACATCCAGCGCAATATTTTCTTGAATCAGATCGACAACCAACTCGAAACACTCGACCAACACAGTGCCGCTTTACACAAGATACTGTAAGATCTAACACCAAAGAGTTAGGATTGTATTAAATATGGTGGACAAAATTTAATGTAGATCAGCTGATCATTAGATCTATTCTATCGGCTCTTCTGCATGACTCAAAAAATGAAACCGGAAAATCTCTTCATACATTTTCACAAAATATCTGTAGGTGACGAGCGTGCCAGCTGAGTTTATCAATGATATTTCAGAAATATGGCTTAGTGCCAATATTGTTATGCTGTGGGAAACAATAGAACGATAAGTCTTTGAATCTACAATTATGGGGCTGATCACATTGACAATGGTCTTTATCTTCGTGTGCTAATCAAGGGGATTATCCCTGACAAGACACGATTGTGGGACATAACTCCGAAATACGTAGCGTAAAATGCACAGCCCCACTATTATGACAATGTTAAAGCACCTTCGCCCAGGCTATTATAGTTAGTTGAGGAGCAGATACACGAAGTTACTGTAAAAGCACACTTTCGCCCTGAACTATTATAGTTAAAACACGAGGTTGCGTATAGTGTAATAAAGCACACTTTCGCCCTGAACTATATTATAGTTAAAGCACGAGAACGCTTGAAATACGTCGCGAGCACACTTTGCTTTGAACGTTAAAGATAATAGTTCAGGTTATCTTTCGCGAACTAATTATAGTTAAAGTGCTTTGCGTCCGAGTGCTTTAACATTATAATAGTTCAGGGCGAAAGTGTGCTTTATTACACTATACATGATGGTAGAGCGAACTGTATTTCTTTTTAAGATGATTTAATACTTTCTAAGGATTACGATTAAACTTATGCAGAAAACGAACAACGGTCTCGGTGACCTAAATTAAGAATCCTCGCACAGGGCTAACTGGCGAGCTGTTCTATCGATGTGTCTGCCCCCTACGTTAAGACGAACGCTTTACGCCGCTGCAATAAACAACATGATAAATGGGTTCACACACGTTAAGACGAATTTACCAGAAAAAAGAAATGATTAACAGTTTATGACAGTTTAGCTTTGATTAAATATATTCTATATTACATCTAATTACATCTGTGATTAACTTAGACCATATGGGGCATTATGAATGTCGCATTTCTACTACAGGGGCGTAGAAACGGTTTTCAGAACAGGGGTGGGGGGTGGGCTAATTTCTGAAAAGTATAGAAAATCAAAATGAAATTGTAGTTATGGTATAGTAGATATGGTTTCGTCTTGAAAAAAGTGTGTGTGTGTGGGGGTTGGGCTTGACAAGTGAATAACATGTTTTATAGATTCATGTAATAATGACATCACGAATCTACCTCGTACAATGTTCAGCCTCATCTCCAGGGAAGTCTCCCCAGCAAATAAAGATAAACATGGAAAATTCAGTTGGCTATTTCTTGTGACTTTCTTTATATAAGGACCAGTGTCGTTAACCCAGCTCACCTGTCTCTACATATAGTTAGTTACACTGACCCAAACAAATCCCAGAATGCTCATCATAAAACATTCACTCAGTCAACACTGGCCTTGCAATGCAGAAGTGAGTGAGTGAGTGAGTAGAGGTTTACACGGCTTTTAGCAATATTCCAGCAATATCCTGATGGGAGAACACCAGACATGAGCTTCACACTTTTTTTACCATGTGTGGAAATGGGACGCTTTCAAAATACATTTGTGACTAGCAATAAACTCTGCAAACAGATTTGTGTGCAAAGTGAACTCCTATTTCTGCTAGTCAATATTCGAGTGTGCAAAAAGGGCATACATCATTCATATTTCTAGGTATTTGAACACACTACTGTGTTTTCTTTCCGTACAACTGATGCTTCTCCAGGCTTGCTTATGCATCAGCCACTGAGACTGCTGGATTATCATCCTCTCGCACAGTTAACACAGAAATTCAACACTGCCAGGAAGAGTAATTTCTTTTATTCGGAGCAATTGTAAAGACATGGAATGTAAAGTTCGATGTTGAGACTGTTAAATGAAAAGATAAATTTTAATTGACAACCCAGTTTTGGTTGCACAAAACAAACTAGTTTATTCTCTTTTTATTAAATTATGTTTTTCTTGATTCAACGTATACATCATGTACATAGAACAATCTAAAGAACCTCCTATGCATTAGATTTTTGTACTTGATTGGATTAAAGCAGAAGACAAATTAAAGGATTTCTTGGTACCGGCTGATCAAAGCTCTGTGCAATGGATACAAATTGTCACTTACAAGGCGTTCAATGTCAGAAGGTGAGCCTGTTTTTTATGTGATGGCAACAATAACAATCTCACAGATGTTTCTTTCTCTCCATGGCCATAGAAAGCACATTAATTACTTCAACTGGGTCACATCAATGGATCATTAACTACTAGAAATGGTACCCATCGTAAGTTGTTAGTCTGTAGAAGTTATTCTATAATTCACAGGATTATGGATCAGCTGTCACAAATGTTGCCTTTCTTTGTTAATGTATGGGAATTCAACACATAACAACATCATGACCACAGTTCATTCTAATGGAAGGGAAGTAACTCTCGGCTGTTTCACTCAGATTCAATTATTCATGTATAGGCTCCAGGCAACAATCAATGAATGGACTAGTGATACTGGACAATTTCTTTGAAAACCTAACACCGACTTATCCCGCTGAATATCCTTCATAGAACATGAAGAAGAGCTCCATGAGTTACATGACTGTGATGGTTGAGTCAAAAGAACTAGTGAAATGAGTTAATCAAGTCACAAAATTGATTCCCCATAATGCAGGCTGTAATGACACAGTCTGGGATTAAATAATCTCGGTATCAGTAGCTTTTTTTCATCATTCATATGAAAGTATTCTCGTTTTAACCTTTTAACCATACTCTTTAAAGATCAATTAATAATTTGATGACCTAATCGACAGTTTTGAAACATTCCAAACACAACACAACCAAGAAATACATTGTAAAACAATCAATTTACAGATGTAGCAGAAAAAAACCAAAACCAAATTTTCACCGTATACAAAGAGAAATTGTAAATTATTCCGCAGTGACGAAATTTCTTGACTTTTGAAAATGCCAATTTTCAGCCTTTTATAAATATTGGTCATCCTTCCATACTCTCTTCGCAACTTTTAACAGGTAACATTTTACATTGATTGTTTATGGTAAAATGTTCAGTCTTGAATCTCAATGTAATAACTGTTCCATTAGACTGTATAAAAACTGTCTAGAAATATGGTGCTGTAAGAACTGTGTACATTGTTATGCCATATGATGTGATCATACCGTACAACCTTACCTTTGGGGAAAAAACACATAAAAAAACATATTAAATAAAAGGAAATACAAGAACTTCAATAAAGCATCTCGACAGGCTTGGATGCTGGTTCTGTGTTAACATGGAACTGTGGCTACCAACCATTTAAACATCTCATAGTAAGCCGTTTCACAGATAGCGTCTAAATAATACATTTCTTGAACAAAATTCCCTGTTTTTCAATACAAATTGCAATCCATTGCACACAGCTTTGTCTAATCCCCTCTACTCGTTCACGTTGACCGTAATAGTCTTGCCCTTGGGGTCATCAAATCTGTCCATGGTTGACAGCTGAGAGATCATGTACATGCCCATGAACAGGATGACTGTGAAGATCCCCACGGGGACAAGTCCCATAAGGATCGGGGTGGTGAAGAACCCAACACAGTCCCACGCCTCAGAGAACTGGTCATTCCTCACACCAAATGGCTGAAACTGGAATGGTAAGGGTTTCATTAGAAGATATCTTGCAATCTAAACACACAAACATCAGGTTTATCAATGAAAACAAGAAGACATAGTGCTCTCTAAGTACATTATATATCAGGCTTGCCAACCCCTCCCAACTGTAATAAAACCCACAAAAAACAAAACAGTTTGATTGTTGTCCTTTTAATTTGAGTGACTATTCCTGTTTTGAGAGAGTGTTCATTTCTCATAGTGTGAGAGCCTTTCAGTGAGTGAGTGAGTTATTATTTAACGTCACATCGGCAATATTTCAGCCATATCGTGACGAGAACATATTTGATTTTGAAGTGGAATATATGTATAATATAAAAACCTGTCGACGAAGGACAGTAAAACAACTAGAATATCACAATTAGAATTAAAACTAGCGTGGAAAGTTTAAAACTAATAGCACTATAGGGACAATACAATATAAAAACAGGCTATAGATCGCCAACAACTGAAGGTAGATCACCGTACTAGGGACCATGGGGACTTACAGTACCTTTGCTACCTGCATAGACCCTAGTTGGATTTACACCATCCCTTCAGTCGTTGGCGATTATAAGAAATGTTAGCAAAAATTAAAATAACAAGAATACTACGTTTAAAAATCCTGGTAAGTAGAGCCTTTCAGTATTTTTGTTAAGCATGCTAAAGTTCTTGATGCAAAATGCTCTGTAAAAGTGTTATAAGGCTAATGGTTTGATTTATAAAATCTGAAATATATTTTGTGATAAATAACTTTTGCTTTATTAGGATATTTTTCAGTTCAACTGCATTGAATATTGAGTGACATATAAAATTTGAGCATCTAACATTCTTCCTACATATTTTGTGTTTCTTCAAAGATGAACTTACCTGCAATCCATCAAATTTAAGCAGAGCATATTCCTTGTCGTTCGTCTTATTCATTGGGTACAGTGTCAGGTCAGAACAGTGGTACGAGAATATCGGTGGCATGGCCATCTCGGTGTCCTTCAAGCTCATATCCTGTTCATCTACAATAACCTCAGAGTTACTGGAGGTGTTGGTGACACTGAGGGTGAAGTTGACAGCCGTCCATCTGTCTACATTCTTGACAGCAGTGAACCTGTGACCAGGACAAGAGTGAGTTTAGTTTTACGCTGCTCTTAGCAATATTACAGCAATATGACAGTAGGGAACACCATAAACTGGCTTCACAAATTGTACCCATGTGGGAAATCACCCTGACCAGGATTCTTATTATGGCTAGGTGTGTGTGTGTGTGTGTGTGTGTGTGTGTGTGTGTGTGTGTGTGTGTGTGTGTGTGTGTGTGTGTGTGTGTGTGTGTGTGTGTGTGTGTGTGTGTGTGTGTGTGTGTGTGTGTGTGAGTGTGAGTGTGTGTGAGTGTGAGAGTGAGTGAGTGAGAGAGAGCGAGATATGATGATTTTTATGGCGAAGCATGTACAATGTGAATGACCCCCCCACTAAAATGTATTATGAACGGTCCCCTAACACTGTATTTTCACATGGTAAATTTAAAGGGGTTGGGGGTATTGAGTATATATAAGTTTACAACTAAAATGTGGAACATAAGGAATGTTTCTCACTTGAACATGACTTGAAAATGGTCCTCGGCTGTAGTGTTGGACACAGCGTTATCTGTTGACAACACAAACCTGAAAGCATGGAAACAGACAAACATCATCTTATGCCGAGATACCATACTGCCTTCAACATCGCTGATTAATGATTTACACAGATTCTAAACATTGAGGTTCACTTCCTGTCATTGTAACGTCAAGGTAGCAGTAGTTACTACCTAAACAGTATTTTCCCAATCTCATCATTATATGAGCTGCTTTTTAGCAAAAATTACCCGTAGTAGTGTCTGGATCATGAGAAAAGGCTTCACATGTTGTACCAACTTGGGGAACGGAATACAGATATCATTGTATCCTATTTATGTGTCCATAACTGTTCAATGTCAATACTGTTCCATACACATGTTTGAATATTGATACTAAACACACCCACCCACCCATCATCCATCCACCTACCCATCATCCATCCATCCACCCATACATCATCAACTACATCATCCATCATACATCATCCACTCACCCACATCCACCCATCATCCATCCACCCACCCATCATCATCCATCCATCATCATCATACCCACCCATCATCCATCCACCCACCCACCCATCATCATCCATCCATCCACCCACCCATCATCCATCCATCTACCCACCCATCATCCATCCATCCACCACCCAGCATCCATCATCATCCATCCATCATCCATCCATCCATCATCCATCCATCCACCCATTATCCAGTCATATGCAATGTCACCCACCCACACATCATCCATCCACCCACCCAGCATCCATCCATCCATCCACCCAACCATCATGGCAGTGTCCACCCACCTATCATCCATCCACCTTGTCCCAGTATATGCAATGGGACAATAACATTCGTGGCAGTGTTGTTGACCCAGGAGGACTCATTAGAACTGTACGCTCCACTCTCCTTGGGGAAGTCAATAACAGTGCGCGTGTTCTTGTCGTCTGCTCCTCTCTGGACAATGACGACCTGGATACCACGGCTGTAGAAGTACATCTCCCCAGATACATTGGCAAAGATGCCAGTTACATTATCAGGATTCTCCAACAGATGGCGACCCTTGAATGTTGCCTTGGTGTCCTGGTTCACAGAAATAACATCCGAATTATAAAGGGAAACAAACTGCTGACTACTCACTTATCATGGAATGGCAGCAGGTGAGGTGAGGTGAAATTGGGTTTAATGTCGCACTTATGAATATTTCGCTCATATGACGACTTGCATGTGTGTGTGTTTGGCTGATTGTACTAGCCCAGACTGAAGCTGGTTTTATAGTGCTAGCTCACTGAGATACCATGCCGCAGTTAAGCATGAATACCCCACTCAGACACATTATACTGACTCCAAGCCGACCAGTCCTTGTTGTACCCATTAATGCCTAGCGCCAGGCAGGGACCAACAAGTGCCATATTTGAACGCCTTTTGGTATGACGTGGCTGGGGATTCAACCCGCGACCTTTCGCTCTAAAAGCGGACGCTCTAACCACTACACCATGGACGCAGTCAGATGTTAGCAGGTGAATTGAGGCAAGGGGGGTAAGGTGTGGTGATACTATCAAGAACATACAGACTCTCATAAATACTTTTGGTCTTTGTAGAGGGGGGCTTATGTAAATTATTTTCTGACAGTTGGTTGGGGGATGCTTATGGGATCAGAACGGTTAATAAATGTAGAAACAAGAGTAGTTTTACGTTAAGATGTCTACCAGCTTTGAATGATGCAGCAAAGAACTGTGATTAAACATAAAATCTTCAGAGATACATAATATACCAAGTTAATTCATTCCTGCTTCACAACATGCGTTTGTTGTTGGGTGTCTATTCTAACCCTGAATCCTGGATGGGTGCAAAGATCTACTATCACATCAAGAAATCTCATTTCATCAGAAAGGATCCAAGATTCAATCCTACAGCATTACTTGAGATATTGCTGATAATCTACTAACCCGTTCTGCTCTCTCGCCTGTAAACAGCGCTGTGTAGTCAATACTGCGCTTGTTCAGAGCTTTCACAATCTCGCCAACTTTCTCATCTTGAAAGGAAAGACAGAAATATTCTCTTTTAACATATGTTTTCAATCCTGCAAAAATATCCATTTATCTATTTATGTAAATAAGGTGACTTACACGACTGACCCAGAAACATAAAACACAATATTTATAAGACAGATTACTTGAAAACATTTGGTTTGGATGTTGTTTAACGTTGCAATGTTATGGCGTCGGTCTGTAAATATTCGAGTCTGGACCAGACAATCCAGTGATCAACAGCATGATCATCGATCTACGCAATTAGGATATGACGACATGTGTCAACCAAGTTAGCGAGCCAGACCACCTGATCACGTTAGTTGCCCCTTATGACAAGCATGGGTTACTGAAGATCAATTCTAACCCTGATCTTCACGGGTTGAAAACATTTGGACATTTCCTAGGTTGAATACACGTAGCACATTATATTGCCAGTTTGATTACAATCATATTCCTACACACACTAAGATACAAAAATGTTATGACAAATATGCACAAAACCTGCACATTACATTTTTAATATGCATAACTTGAAACAGCATCTGACAGGTTCAGAATGACATGATATGTTGTGTATATTCCACATTGAAAATGGACCGCAGGACATGTCACTCAGCTTGTCAACAAAACCTAATGGGAAGATGTCACAAAGAACAGTTGTTACCATTCTTTGAAATGGCCTTCTCTTCATTCTTCTGACCAGTGGCAGGCAAGAGAACTAGGATAAGATAACTCTTGTCCTTCTCCATTTTCAGCCCAGATACATGTTCAGGGCTGGACACACTGTGCACTCGGCCCTTGAACTCCTTCATCAAACTGTCAATGACATCTTTAGGAGAGTGTACTGCAGGCAGGTTCACAGAAAAGTTGTCATCCATAAGGTTCTGAAGAAACCAGCAAATATGCATCAACATGTGTCGGGTGTCACATGGTAAACGGGTGAGTTGAACACAACTTTGATCAGCATTTAATGCAACATAATTACATTGGGGCATATCAGCTTAATTTCAATGAAAACCCATGCTTTGAGTTTTACCACTTTGTCACAGTATGACAATAAATGTTCACCTCATAAATAACTGAAATAAACAATAGATGCAAAGTACAATGACCACTGATGTATGGAATATAGATGGTTTAAACGTGTTATAAGCAGTCCAAAATCCTTATTACTAATATTACACCACTACACATGCTTTCATTATTACACCACTACACATGCTTAAGGAAATCATTATTACACCACTACACATGCTTAAGGAAATCATTATTACACCACACTACACATGCTTAAGGAAATCATTATAACACCACTACACATGCTTAAGGAAATCATTATTCGCCACACACACATGCTTAAGGAAATCATTCATTTGACGCAGAGGATTGTAAACTTCAGTTAAGGAAAAAAGGATCATAACAAGGATAGCAGCACAGGTGGCAGTTCTTGTGATTGTGATTCACTTTAATAATAGATTTGACCAGTATTTAAGATATTGTGTGAGATATATTCAAAGTATACTATTGAATTGATAACAGCAGTTTCAAACCTTGATATTCTTGAATGCACCTCCATCGCTGAATGGGTTGTAGACATCGGCATACTTGGAGAAATCTTCCATGTGGAGCTAAAAATAGATATTGGTAATTCCACTACTTGTGCTCAGGATGATTCATTATGTGATAGTCACTGATAATACCTGGCATGCACACCGAGACAAGTTTGTTGTGGGTCAACAGGGTTCTCGCCATGCTCAACATGCTCAAAGGCATCTACTGGTTTATTCAGGAGACCTCAGGGACCTTTCATAACTTCTGGTGAGGGGGTGTGGGTCACTGGGTGATGATTTTTATGGAGCAGCATTAACATTAACAATGTGAATGGACACCCCCCCCACCCTACTAACATTTATGTACACAGTGAGTGCCCCCAGCCCCTCGCATGCCATGGACAAAATCAATAACCCAAATAACAAGATGGGTGACCACCACCCCATCCCCCACAACTCATCATTACCCCCAGCCATATACAATGAACGGTCCCTTGTCCAACTTAATATTGCAAATAACAAATCCAGTAACTCAGTTAGTTTTCACTATATGTTCTTGCAACAGTAATAACTGTCAAACACAGCAGTAAGTAACATTATAATTTATATTAAGATCCTGTAAACTTGATGTATAGCTGAGATATTGCTGAAGCCACATTAAACTTGAGTGAGTGAGTGATTTTAGTTTTATGTTGCACTCAGCAATATTCAAGCTATATGACGGTGGTCTGTAATTACTCAAGGTCTGGACAAGACAATCCAGTGATCAACATCATGAGCATTGATCTACGCAACTAGGATACGATGACATGTGTCAACCAAGTCAGACAGCCTGACCATGCAATCCTGTTAGCTGCCTTTCACAAAAAGGATGGGTTAATGAGGATCAATTCTAAATCGGATCTTCACTAGTCATTAAACTTAAGGTGAATGAACATTATGAAAATGTGTTAAACATTATGAAACAGTGTGCAAGAATTTTTATTATGATTTTGGCATTAACAAAGTTGACTTTTTTTAAATTGTATTAAACATGTTTATGAAATATGTTCCTTTGTTTCTTCCTACAGTAAAAGGTAATTACAATATTTCATGAACAGCAAGCGCTCTGTCCTGATAACTAACATGACTTAACAATGCAAATACATCACCTAAGGCATAATGAGCATGATATGGTTCGAATTATTTCTATAACCATGTACAAATCATAACACTTGTTACCATGGTAACTAATCATGCTAATTGAAAAACATATGCATAATCAAGATAATGACCGATGACAGCATCATTAGGAACTTGGGTATATTGAATGCATTCAGTCAAATGAATGAACATTGATTTATGCATATAGGCAAAACTCATACAGTATTTATTTTGGAAAAATATTGACAATCAGTCTACAGCTATTTTCCGTTTTTTGATAAACAGGGAATGAATCAATATTATCAAAGAGCTATGAGTTGTTTAAATCTCATTTTATGACATCTTGGACAAGAAGGTAAACAGTTTGAGAACATGGAAACCAACCTTATCTTGTACAAAAGCTACAACACTGTGTCCTTGTTTGCTGGTCAGCGGGGAGAGATATTTCTGGTGGAAGGTTTGCCCATCGATGCTGTTACCAGCAAATGCCTGTGGTAGATCATGCAAAGGCCTGGAGACAGAAACATCAAATAATCATTAACATGATATATCTCTATCAGATTTGAAATTAAGCATAAACTCAAGTAGTCCTTCTAATAACATGTAATAACTCTAACAGTTTAACTCTAAATGATAAAAGTTATAGATTTAGTATCTTGAGCATGTTTAGGAAATCCATAGATTCAAATGCCTCAATCATGTTAATTTGGATCACCGACACTAAATATGATAATTAGACTGAATGCTTCATTGCACTGTTAACATCATCATGATCAGGCCAAATAAAAAAATGTTGTGGTTCCGATTACACCTTTTTAAAATTTAGGGTAGGTAGGTAGGAACGAAGTTTTCTTCATGTTTTTTTAAGAAGTAAAGTACGAACTAATAACACATTTATCAATGTATAGTTGTTTATTCAATCAAGCTTGCGGCCATATTGTCGACTTTCTCTATCAGAATGACCGATGTCCGTTGGTGCCGGGAAAAAAAAGAAGGTATATGAAAGCTTATTTTATTCATACCTCGTAAAAAAATACCACTCCAGCATTGTAACAGCTAATAAAGAATAGCACATTAGCATGTAACAACCAACAAGTGCAAAACTTTTGATGTTGTGACTAATACATATTGCAAATGGTATACATTAACCATGATAATAAATAAGCCAAAATTTAGAAATTATCATGCTGTATTTGCTAGACTTAGTGCAAAATAACTCTCTTAGAATGTTAATGGTTGGTTTGTTGTGTAACGCCACACTCAGCAGTATTCCAACTATATAGCGGCAGTCTGTAAATAATTAAGTCTGGAACTGAGAATCCAGTGATCAACAGCATGAGGATCGATCTAAGCAATTAGGATATGATGACATGTGTCATGACATGACAGCATGGGTCGCTGAAGACCAATTCTAACCCGGATCTTCAGAGATCTAGAATGTCAAGGAAATAAGAAACAGATGGATAAAAGTCAAAGGCCTAACAAAACTCCCTTGTGAACTACAGCTTTACAATAAAGTAAATCATACCTCTGTGCCAAACCATGCTGACCAGTTCAAACAAACCGATTTTCTGACCATCATGACTATGAATTTTCCTAATGCATATTGAGGACCATTGTGATCCTTTGCTCAATATAGTCATTTACTTTAAATTAAAAAAATAATCCTTCTCTATCACATTTATTGATAAGTCATTGATCATAATAACAAATAACCGTAAAAATAAAATTAAAGGTGTAAGCAAATGCTCATGGTTAGTTAGTCCAGCATATAACTAGACGACTTTGCACTATACCAAGGTGTGCTCGACTAGGCCTTGGCTGGAATACGAGTTTATTCATATGAACTAATTGTTAGCAGGATTTTGTGGTCATAACGCTCAGATATTAAAGGGCGAGGCAATAACGGCAAAGTCGTGATCACCAGTGACTACTGCATACCAAAATCACCAGGACCTGAGTGAGATATGTGGGTCACCTTCAGGTATCATATGGAAGTCATTGCGGGGAGCAGCTGACTGTCAACAGGACATCAAAGATCAAAGCTGCATCCTGCCCCCTATCACCAGTCCAGAGGAAAGCTCTGATCATTACTAAATTTCTAAATGTTCCCATTCTAAATACAGTATTTCTGTTAATAAATACAGCCAAGTTAGGGATGGTCTAATCTTTGATTTTCATTTCATTAGTGTCATCAAACGATTCAGGAAGTCATCCGAAGTGCAACAAGTTTAGTAATTACCGATTCTTTAACACAGTTAAAGTCTACATACATAAACTACGGAACTCAAATTACCTGGACTGTGACCACATTAAAACAGGCACTTTGTCAGCAGTGATAACTGCCAGGAACGTCAAAGTCACCACAATCTGTATCGCCACCATCATTATTTTCGCCATCTTGCTGCTTATGACTGATCACGTGGATTTGGTCACATGACCAAAATCTCGCAGGCCGAACGAGAAGAGACCGTGATCTTCCTTTTACGCCATTACCCATCAACATGGGTGAGTGTGTTGCCCACGTGGTTAAACAATTATTAGATTATACTAGTTTTGTAGCAAATATTTTGAAATGAAAAACATGTTTAATAAATGATTATGTGTTATTCTGGCTCCAGATCACTTGTTAGTTGTCATAATGACCAATTTATCGACGCTTTACTTGATTAACCAGGACATATTTGCAGTGCAAAGCCCGGCGTGTCATGGTGAAATTTCACCAAAAGACATAAATGTCCCAAATATGTAGATCATTCTTGATAAGATATGTGGATTCACTTCTGAAAATTGAAAAGTATAAATTTGAACATTCGATTTTGTATGTCTGTATCGGTAATGAAAGTCTAAATTACCTACATGATCCAGTTTGTCTCCACAGGACTCATCAAAACACAAGAATACATGTAAAAAGTTACCAACTTTATGAAACATTAATAATCACTTTGATCATGCAAAGCTAAAATTACATCTTTTCCTGACACAAGTAAATACTTAGATGAAAGATCCGAAAGAACATCACCATTGATTGCCAAGTACACTGTACTGCTTGGTGATATGGTAATGGGAAATGCATGAAAGAACTTAACAGTGCAAGTCCAAGGAATGCAAGAAATATTAGCATGTTACATAAACATATGCGCCCAATTTCAGAGTGACTGGTAGATTTTTTCAATAGGATATTGAATTCCTCACCTAGAGAGACACAAAGCTCTTTGATCTGAAGTAACATTCTGAAATCAAGCTTGCCACATGTCTCCAGTATGGCGGCAATATACATACATGTCTCCAACCCCACCCACCCCCTAAGTAATGTGAATCTTCTGCAGGTAGTACCCACTGTTCACACAATAGTTTTAAAACAGATATGAAATATGAATCCCACAGTTAAAACTAAAATAGAAAGTAGAATCAGTTCGATAATATCACATTAACTTGAAAAATTACCAGAAATCTGGAATTGAAAAAGGTCCTTCATGTGAATTCTTATTTTGTTAACAGGAAAGCCAAAGGGTCTTCGTACAGCACGAAAGATGCGCGATCATCGTCGTGACCAGAGATGGCACGACAAAGACTACAAGAAGGCCCATTTGGGAACCAGGTGGAAGGCTAACCCCTTCCAAGGGTCCTCGCACGCCAAGGGCATTGTGCTGGAAAAAGTGTGAGTATATGGTCGACTGTGGGGTTGTCATGATTCATCAGTTGCATTGTGAAATTACAGCTGAGTGAGAGAGAGAGTTCAGTTTTATGCCGTAATCAGCAATATTCCAGGTATATGGCGGCGGTCTGTAAATAATCGAGTCTGGACCAGACAATCAAGTGATCAACAGCATGAGAAATTACAGCTGACATCACACCACCCATGTGTCGATTCATGTTTATGTTAGAAAAAGTAATTACTGTCAAGTAACACTGCTGAATGACTACTTGGTCTGGCATTACCTTTCTTCTCATGAAACAAGACATTTATTTAGGAAACCAAGACATTATCAATTTTGCCACCAGAGTCACATAATTACAGAGAATTTCATGCAGGAATGGCAAAAATTGATTACATAAACAACTGGACCTTGAATTAAGAAAATGTATGTAGCAATTATAATAGCTCAATTTGATTTAATGCCACCGTGAGGTTTTCACATAGCTATATAATTTCTTTACAGAGAATTTTCATGCAGGAATTTTGGCTGTGTTGGAAAAATTGATTACGTGATTATATACCTTGAATGACTTTGATTAACCAATCGCAATCCAGTATTTACTGAAGCCATGGTAGAATTCAGTTTACAGAATCGTGAAGCCACTAGTCCTTAGCTTGTTTAAGTTGCTGCAGCACAGAATGCGCCTTCAACAATTAGTACAAATCATGAGCAGTTAAGTAAAGCTAGCCCCCCATAACCAGTGTTTAAAACTCCCAAAATTCCAATCCAGACAGCCTGACTGGTAACTTTAAAAAAATTACCAGTCCAGGTACAAACTTGCCTGTCCGGTTTTCAACAATTAAAAACTGTGACTGCCATTTCCAACTCGCGCAAGCTCTATTCACTGTTTGTAGGCATCGCAATGAACTACATGGCACTAACAGGCAATGCACCGAGTTCAGGTACACTGAAAGTACATGAGTGTGATTAGTTATAGTAACATGAACTGTCCAATCGAAGTAGTTTAACATAATTATCATAATACCTTAAACACCTCAAACTGACGACAAGAGAACCTGTCTGATATTATGAAATATTTACTCTTGGGGGTAAAAATATCTACCAGACCACCGGACAGGCTACTTTTGAAATTTGACCTTCCGAGATGAAAATAGACTGTTCCAGACAGTCAGGCAGGCTGCAAATTTAAACGCTGCCATGACAATAGTCAATATGATAACTTGCACTGTCTAACGTTTGTGATATTGGCCACAAATGTTTAAGTGCTGACTTGCATTGGGATCCTTTATAGTCACAGAACCCTTGAAGGAAAATGGACCTGCAGCAATTCATGCTGCATTGTAATGTAATTGTAAACCCCACCCCAAAACTCATATGGGCTATAACAGGACACAATCCTAACTCTCATAATTACTGTGACCAAGACAAGAGAGGACACTTCCTGTTGGGACACACATTGCAGCTATAGGAGTCAGGAAACTGCATCAGTTGTTTATGTCTTTATATGCCTTTGACCGTCTCCGTGGTGTAGTGGTTAGAAGCGTGCCCTGTGTTAAGAATGGACTTAAGAAGTTCTTCAGGCTACGAACCGCCTCCGTGGTGTAGTGGTTGAGGCGTCAGCCGAGAGCGGAAGGTCGCTGAGTTCGATCCCGGCCGCATCATACCAAAATATGTTAAAATATGGTACTTGTTTGTCCCTGCCTGGTGCTTTCGGCATTAATGGGTACAACAACAAGTACTGGTAAAACTCTGAGTCGGTATAATGTGTCTGAGTGGGGTATTCATGCTTCACTGCGCATGGTATCTCAGTGGGCTAGCACTATAAAACAAGCTTAAGTCTGGGCTAGTACAAGCAGCCACACATACACACGCATGCACATCGTCATATGAGCTAAATATTCTCAAGCCGCGACTTTAAACCCAATTTCACCTCACCTCACCTCACATCATATGCCTTTACATCATGCTCAAAGGCATAACAATAAGAACAATACTTTAAGTTTAATTTGATGTTAAATTTTTCTGAATATCTATTTGTCTCCTGAGCCCATTGACAATCACTGACACAAGCAAGATAAATCAAATGACCTATTATTCTATCAATCAATCCAGTCACTGATGACTTTATTCATGACCTATTATATGAACACATCCTATTTTTTATCCCCGCAACAGCGCTTTGCGGGGGTATTAAAATGGACTCCATCCGTCCGTGCACATTTGTCTTTTCGGAGCAGAACTCTAAAACCGTTCAATGTTTCTGCACCAAACTTGGCACATAGATTGGTCTGGTGGTGTACTGGTGCCTTTTGGTAGTTTTGAAATTCTGAATAAAATATTTTGGCATTTCCATGGCAACAAGTTTGACTTAGACTGAAATTGGTGATAGTGCTCCTTTCTGGAGCAGAACTTTAAAACCTTTCAATACTCTCCTTCCACTTTTCTATATACACACCTAAAAATTTGACATAATCATAACTCGTAGACATAATCATGAAGAGTATTTTGCTATTGTGGGGATATTGATGACTTTGTCTTCTTGTTATATTTTGGCTTAAATACCTGTGTCACCCTAACCTGACAGTGAATCAATGCTCACAATGTCATTCACTAAATTGTTGATGGGTTGACGTCATCTTGTTGGAATATTGGCGACTGTGCATATAGCAACTAGAAATACCACCAAATGTCACAGTTGAGGTTTCTTGATGTCTTTTATAGGGGTGAAATGGTATGCCGCGGTATTTTGACTTCCGTTCGGTATACCCTAATGCTATCCAAAAAAAATCGGTATTTATGCGGGTTTTCGTACCGTCATTTTATTAACCTTTATAAACCTTTTCTAAAATGTCTAGAACTTCGAATCTTCTGTCAAAATCTGTGGGTTTCTTTTCTGCATTATGATCATATCTCATATACAGAAACGGACAAAAACCGAAGGCCTTGTACCGCAATACGTACCGTACCGTGGTGAGAGCATACCGTTTCACCCCTAGTCTTTTATAGCATTATTCAGCTTGAAAGAAGTATCCACTGGTTAGTCTGTCCACATCATGTCAAGACTGTTGAGGATCACAGTGTAATATTTATTGACAACAGCCTTATGAACAGGTCCTCCAATTAATATACTTCTCACTGTTGCGGAGTACCAAAATAGTCCTCTTTTTGCGAAGGTGTGGTCCTCATGTAATATTTAGTGGTATATGTCATTAATAATAATGTGGTTGGGTTTTATGACAACAAATTTAAGTAGACTTTGATCTTGTGATAAATGTTGTTGACTATTGTGATTTAGGTGTCCTGTGTTGTGTAGACATTTATTTATGGATATCTTGCAAACTCCTTTTGTGCTCCAAACCACTCTGTCTACTGATCAGGTCTCTGCAGTATTTAGATTTAAGTTTTGATATATGGACTTGAGCTAAGCATATTTTACAAACTAAATTTGAAGACTTTGACTCAGTGACTGTTACGATAATTTGTTTGTTGACTGTTTATTTTGTGACTGTTTTTTGCAGTGGTGTTGAGGCTAAGCAGCCAAACTCTGCCATCAGAAAGTGCGTGAGAGTGCAGCTCATCAAGAATGGAAAGAAAATCACCGCCTTCGTGCCCAATGACGGTTGCCTCAACTTCATTGAAGTAAGTTACAAAAAACGTCTTCACTAAATGTTCCTTTTGTAATATAGTGCAGGGATGAATCCTGGAGATCGTGGAAATTCTTCATGCATAATTTCTTTTCCTGTCTTTAAACTAGTCATAGTTTTGTTATAAATACCTTCAACCCGTTTGCTACTAGTACTAGTGTGTTATGATATCTCATGTATGAACAGGAAAGGAATATTGCTGAGTGCAGCGATAAACAAAAACAAACAAACCCTATTGGTAATCTAAGGTAGATTTGGTGTTAACCCATTCAACACGCAGGCGAATAATCGGCAACAGCGTTATGAGTCCCCAGACACGGAGGCCGATTAATCGGCCAGGCAGTAATCGCGTCAAAATGAGACATAATTTTAGGAACCTACCTGACTTTTGATTCATATATCAAATCTATCACATTTCACAATGTCTGAAAACACTTATTAAATTTCAATTTATCATATATTATCAGCAGAATTAAAATTATAAACTATTTTTAGCAATATTATTGAAAACAACGATTCTCGGACACATGCTTGACGGCGGGTCCACAATAACATTGTCAAAGAGCAAAATAGATGATGTTCGAGGAAATTATTAAATAAATTGAATAAACTAATGAATAAAATCAACAACAGCATTCATAAAAGTTGTCAAGCTTACATATAAAATTACTATTTCCATCTTTTGTCGCGATCATGTAATGCAAGTCAAGTCACTGACAAGTGACATCTCGGCTCTCGCCGCCTCAATCTTCGCTTTCGGACCACGATGTTTAATGCGAAAATACATACATGAAGCATTTTGTCACAGGTCATAACCTAGCCGCGATCGTCCAATAAGTTCCATAATTTTACATTATTGGTAGCGATTTCTTGCTTAATATGTTCAGAATAGCATTATTTTACCCAAAACTTTTGTCCAAATCTAAAGATTTCGTTTCACGAGGGGCGGTATCCATTGCGTAATATGATTGGCTGCCTTAGGTCGCGTGTCTGATTTTGACCAATCCACAACCCTTATAGCAGACTGTGGCGAAAAGCGTCATTAGAAACCAATCTTTATCAATAAAATAAGCTTCTTACAACTGTGAAAATACTCTTGGCAAGGGTACAGTGATATTGTTGATGTTCAGAGCTTTCGAGCGATGCCCGACATCAAGCGATTTGCGCGCATGTTATTCATCTGAAGCCAGAAAGCGGAGGTATTTTCAGTTGTTATGTCATTTTACCGGCGGAAAGCCGCAGATATCGGGGAAATAGGCGACCATACATATTGTTTAAGAAATCTTTTTATAATAATTTTCTGATTACGTAAAATGAAAATATAAAAGAAAAAGGCCGCGGGCAATTTATGACATGTCACAAATGGAAAAAATGCGCCATAGTTTTTGCTCCTTTAAAGTGGTTTTATCTGGGCGTTACAAATGTAAGCTTGCATTTTCATTCAAATATAAAATTTATTTAAGTTGTAGTTGTATTATTTGAATAATATTATAAAAATAAACTTCATATTTATCAACAGTAGGATTAGATCTTTTAAATGGTGTATGGGATGTAGTAGCAATAGCGTTTTACAAGCTTATAATTTCCTTCACAAACATAGGCTTCATCTATGACCTCAGAGTCTCTGGGAACTTCGGTGTCATGGCAGTAAATGCCTCTGGTTGACTGGTGTTGAAAGAGTTAATTCAGTAACCCGGCTTTTAAGTAAGAGGCGACTAACAGGATCGGGTGGTCAGGCTAGCTGACTTGGTTGACACATGTCATCGGATCCAAATTCCATAGGTCAGTGCTCATGATGTTGATCACTGGATTGTCTTGTCCAGATTCGATTATTTACAGGCGACCGCCATATAGCTGGAATATTGTTGAGGCGTAAAACTAAACTCATTCACTCGTAGATCAATACTCATGATGTTGATCATACATACATACATACTAACATTTGTATAGCTGATATCCAGCTCCAGCTGCTCAAGGTAGCGATCACTGGATTGTCTGGTCAGACTTTATTATTTACAGACCCGCCACCATATAGCTGGAATATTGCTGAGTGCGGCGTAAAACTAAATTCACTCTCACTCTGGTCTTGTTGATAAAGTCATTTACAATCCTCAGCTGGGTCATAAGAAAAGATTTTGAAAGATGGTACTTATTGTTACCCTGGCTTGGCATAAATGGGCTGAACCAACGAGTAGCCCACTTGGGGTCATAATGTGAGTGGATTGTGCATGGGAAAACTGCAGCATGGTATCTCAGCTGGCTAGCAGTATGGAATAGTATTTGTCCAGATGAGCACAAGCAGTCTCTTTCATACATTTGATATGATATATATCTATTCAGTACTTCGGCCTCATAGCCTAGAATACAATTGTATTTGTTAGAACACGTCACGTGGTGAACAATACAGCAATATTTCTGTTTCCATTTACATCTCAACAGATATACATTTTAAAGAAAATGGGGAGTGCTCGTAAATTATCCTCATTATTTGTAGTTGTAAACAATGTAGAATTACCCACACTTTGTGATAACCAAACGTGGGTAAAAACCTGTAATAAAATAGCAAATTTCTGAGATTTGACACCTGGGGTTTGCTTTCCAGCGTCATCTAATTTTTTTTTAACATTATATAGCATTGGTTGGATATCTAGAATAATTCATATGAAGTATTTTTATCCAGTATTTTATAACCCTTTATCTGTGTGGAAACAAACATGGTGTAGCGCCCTGTTTCACCAAGTATAGCATTATTGGATGCGAATTTGCCAACCTGTAAGAAACGTTTTAAATACTGTGTGTGAACTTTTTCTATAACTTCAAAGTATCTTGTCCCCCATATTTCAGACCCATACAGTAAAATTGGTGAAACTTTGCTATCAAATATTTTACAAGTCGCTGATAGGATATGCAACTAATTTTTCGAAATAATGTGAACAGAGGCATCATTGCACGTGAAGCTTGAGCTGCTGGCGTTTGGCATGCTTTTGCCCAATTTAACGTTGATGAAAATAGAATACCTAGATATTTATAATATGGTATAATTTTTAGATTTATGTGGTTTAGAACCCAGCTTTCAACGTTGAGCAACAATGCCTCCATTTCTGAATACAATAACATTGGTTTTATCTAAATTGACTTGGCCACAGAAAGATTGGAGCACATTTAATTGCTTCTGCAACCCTGAAACAGTATAAGAGAACATTGTAACGTCATCGGCAAACAAAGTAGCATTATATCATAAATATTTTGTTTAACAAATTTACCGTGATTACATTTATCATATACATTTAAGTTACAAGCTCATTTATGAAAAAAAGTGAAAAGTATAGGACTAACAACACATCCATATCGAACACCTGCTGATGTGGTAAAGTTACTCATTATTTTTGAGTTTGATGTCTCACATGATTTAACTGATGAATACATATTCCTAAGTATATTAAACAGTTTCCCATGACAACCCTTTAGTGCTAATTTAAATAATAACTTGTGTCTGTCTACATAGTCAAAGGCCTTCTTAAGTAAATAAATACACAGTAAAACATACCACGTGGTTTGCACAAATATTTAGAGATCAATGCTTGTTGAGTCAACATATTGTCGGTGGTAAAGTAATTAGACCTAAAGCCAGCTTGGGCTTCGGATATTAAGTCGTTCAGTTCTATCCAAGCCCTCAGACGTTTTTCTAAAAACTGTTGTAAATATTTTCCCCATAACGTTCAATATAGAAATCCCCCGGTAATTATTAGGTCCTGACTTATGGAGTTGAACAATCATACCTATATTCCAAGCTGTAGGAAAGTTTCCAGATTCAAATATTTTATTAAATAAAACATGCAGATAATATATGAGCACGTCACTGGAACACTTCAGGTAGTCCATCTTCTCTTGCAGCTTTTCCGCTCTTTAGGTAATTTATAGCATCGTCTATTTCTGCAATCGTAATTTCCTCTGAAAGAAGCTCTTCAGTTACAGGAAAATCTGAACAGGTGTCACATGTATGAGAATTAATAAAGTCTTTCACTGTCTTATCAAAGTCTGACTCAATAGTTGTGTCTGGGTTAAGAAGATGTTGAAAGTAAGAGAACCAAGTTTGCGGCGTAACTGGAGAATCACCAAGATTAGAATTAGCAGAAAGGGCACGTTTAACAGTGTGCCAGCTTTTACAGTCTCCAAGTAGTGCTTGAGATGAAATATCCTCTGCTATTTTCTGGTCATATACTTTCGTTTTAGAGCTACAACCGTGCTTGAATTCAGCCTTAAGCCTTTAAATACTGACATAAACTATTATCGGACTGATATCTTCTGTATCTGTTTAATAGCCTATACTTCTCTGACTTTAACCAACGACAATCTTTGTCAAACCAAGAGGGTTGTTTGGAGCATGGTTGGTGATGTACTTGTTTGGGTTTACAGCCATAAACTTCAGATCCACAGAAAATCAAAATGTCCGATACTTTCTGCACAGCTCAATTGATATCATTGACATAAAACACTGAACATAGATGAAACTCTCGTCGTTGTTCATCACACCAACTTCTAAATGCCACTCAAACAAATTATGTAAGAAGTCACTGAAGCTTGATGTCTGTTCTTTAAGTAATTTATATTTTGGTACATCATATAAAGCAAATGGAACATTGGTCTGTAATTTCGTTCTCTTGGGTAATATGTTGCTAAGTCGACACAATGGGAAGATGATCTGACTCACTTCGGGACATCACATCCATCGAAACTACACATGGGAACAAAGAAACTGACTCAAGGAAGTAGTCTATTACACTGGTTCCTGACGGAGATACATACGTAAACATTCCATCAATATCGTTTTCCTTTCGACCATTTACAATATGAACACACATCATATTACACTTTTCTAAAAGTTGTCTGTTATACTTATTTACCACAGAATCAGATGATTTACGTGTATGTGAAACGTGTCATACTGGTAATATATAGTCTGTATCATCATCGATAATATAATCCCTCTCAGCTGCCGTGCGAGCGTTAATGTCGCCGCATAATATCAATTTACAGTTGTCACTATAGTCATGGTATATATGGAGCAACTGATTTTCAAGGGGAGCTAATTCCACGGTCATCAGAATGATTATATACAGGGGACCTCTCTGGGTGGATGTAAACAAAACCTAGGATTACCTGGGACAGCATTGGATTTGAATTATCTGGGAAAGGATACAGTTATTCCATTTAGCATACACCCTCCTGAAACATGAAGATATAGACTTCTTGATTCCTACCACTATCCCCCCTGAGAATCTCCCTCGTAGTTCAAGTCTTCGTGCATCACTGACAAAGATATAACCATACAAAAGAGCCTTAAAATCATATAGCTTTAAAGCATCAAGACACATTGTTTCAATCATTGAAAATATGTCAAATGTTTTCAGAAAAAAACAAAGTCGCCACAAAGTACCTTAGATTTTAAGCCATGTATGTTCCATGAACATACTGTTCAACATTCCTGACAACATGGTACAGTCAGAATGTCTGAAGAAAACTGTTGGGATAAATTGGGGCCAGTGCCGAGATCCTATTCCGTTGACGTAGCACACTCTTCTTCCATCAGTGATGCATTTATGTCCATATGAATGAGTATAATAATCTCAATTGCAATAATAAACCCCATTGTATGTCAAATTATCTGGGGCGGTGGTGTGGTAAAGTGTGGCTCATACCCTAGACCCAGTGTTCGAAATAATCGCCGGCCCGGAGGCCCGGCGCCGGTTGTTTGTATCGGGCCGGCAGTTTCACATATTTGCAGGCCCTTGTGTCCTTCAGTAAATTATCCGTCTTTTTTCCAACTGGAATCTTTCCCATCATATTTTCTTTATTTACGTTCGGGAATCATCCATGATCCACCATGTTACGATAACTTACAGTTTCAGAGCTTTGCGCACAGGAATGTCAACACCAGTCTTTAACAAATAAACATGTCTCTCTGCGCCATGGGCTTCGCTAATTGATTTTTGTAGAAACAGTTTGAAACTGTACAGTGGTCTATTTCGTTTTTGTTGGTTTGACTTTAACAAAATGGGCCAGTAGTGGGCCTGCAAATTTACAGCTAGCCAGCCCGATGGTCTGGTAAACATATAAGATGTTCCATGCATCTGAGTTAATTCGCCATATTTGGTCTGGTTAAATCCATTTTGGGCTGGTAACATTTTGAAGTTACCAGCCCTGATGTCTGACTGGATTTTTGGCTAATTTCATACACTGCTGTAGATTTTAAAGCCTGCAGGTGGCAGCAGGCCCTGATGGCCAACTGGCAAATTAAAGTATTGCAAACACTGCCTAGACCCCGTTCAATTCCCCAATGTGTGAAATTACTGAAGCACATTACTAGCCCCTACTGCACTGATATTTCCTAATATTGCTACGTAAGTACTTCAGGGTTAGCACAGGCTTGCAAATTGCAAAAAGCCTCAAATTTGAACATTTTACCCTAAAAAGGCCTAAATTCGTTGAAGCTTTGAAAAGGCCCGAATTGCTAGTGACTTGCCTTGAAAAGCCTTAAAGTTAGCAAAATGTGTCAGGTTTTTATTGTAAAGGAGACTAAAACATAAGAAATACTTTGCAATGGCGTGTCTCAATCGCAAAGCAAACCATTCCGAGTGCGGGGATGTAGCTATGAGTTACTTCCCTTTTATGGCAGGTCCCATATACAACCAACTGTTTATTCAACTACTTACGTTTTATACCTTAAAAGAGTTTAATGGGCCCTGAAATGGTCCCAAAAGGCCTTAAATGTGATATCTGATAATCTGTACGAACCGAATGCTTGCTTACTCGTGTCATTACACACATGTACAAATTACACCATCTGATGACTACAGTGTGTTACCATGGCGATGTCATGTCATCATGAGCTACTGATGTGAAAAACAAATGAGGATCGTATGGCTACAGCGTGTCACCATAGAGATGTCATGCCATCATGACCTACTGATGTGAATAACAAATGAGGATCAGATGGCTACAGCCTGTCGCCATAGAGATGTCATGGCATGACCAAATGATGTGAATAACAAATGAGGATCGGATGGCTACAGCGTGTCACCATAGAGATGTCATGTCATGACTTACTGATGTGAATAATAATTGAGGATTGGATGGCTACAGCGTGTCGCCATGGCAATGTCATGTCATCATGACCTACTGATGTGAATAACAAATGAGGATCAGATGGCTACAGCCTGTCGCCATAGAGATGTCATTGCATGACCAAATGATGTGAATAACAAATGAGGATCGGATGGCTACAGCGTGTCACCATAGAGATGTCATGGCATGACTTACTGATGTGAATAATAATTGAGGATTGGATGGCTACAGCGTGTCGCCATGGCGATGTCATGTCATCATGACCTACTGATGTGAATAACAAATGAGGATTGGATGGCTACAGCGTGTCACCATAGAGATGTCATGTCATCATGACCTACTGATGTGAATAACAATTAACGATTGGATGGTTACAGCGTGTCACCATAGCGATGTCATGTCATCATGACCTACTGATGTGAATAACAAATGAGGATTGGATGGCTACAGCGTGTCACCATAGAGATGTCATGTCATCATGACCTACTGATGTGAATAACAATTGACGATTGGATGGCTACAGCGTGTCACCATAGAGATGTCATGACATGACCTACTGATGTGAATAATGATTGAGGATTGGATGGCTACAGCGTGTGATCATGGCAATGTCATGTCATCATGACCTACTGATGTGAATAATAATTGAGGATTGGATGGCTACAGCGTGTCGCCATGGCGACGTCATGTCATCAAGACCTACTGATGTGAATAACAAATGAGGATTGGATGGCTACAGCGTGTCACCATTGCGATGTCATGTCATCATGACCTACTGATGTGAATAACAAATGAGGATCAGATGGCTACAGTGTGACCTTGGTGATTGTATGTGGAGAACTACCAGTATCGTTTTATAACTAAAATACTATTCAAAGAGGTTTTAAACCAAATTCTCTCTCACTTGTCACAAGATCACAAGTGAGGTATGCTGCCGTTCCCAGTGAATGAAATGAGCTGAGGAATGTTCAGAATATTTTATTTGAAATCAAACAAACATGCTGGTTAGAGCTACAATCGATAAATTCGAATGTACATGTACAATCAAACACTCGTGCACACACATGCACTGTAGGCAAAACATGTAAAATGACATTTTGAGAAACGGAGATAAACAATCAAGTTTAAAATGAACACAATGTGGTACAGAGGTGTAAATAATGTACATATCAACAATATAAAAAACAACGGTGGATAATAACCATCACAAACATAACATTTCAATAATTTGATCTGACTAATATGAAACATTACAAGGACAAAGTCGTCGATTTCCCTCGCAATTGTAAGCACCTATAGAATATACTTGAAACTTGTTGCTGGAAAAAATATTTGCCAGGTGAATAATTTTTTCATGTCACATTCGTATGTTTTATCCTCCTCCCTTACTCGTGTTACCCGTGAAGGTCCGGGTTAGAATGAACCTTCAGTAACACATGCTTGTCGTAAGAGGCGACTAACGGGATCGGGTGGTCAGGCTCGCTGGCTTGGTTGACACATGTCATCGGTTCCCAGTTGCGCAGATCGATGCTCATGCTGTTGATCACTGGATTGTCTGGTCCAGACCGCCGCCATATTGCTGGAATATTGCTGAGTGCGGCGTAAAACTAAACTCACTCACTCACTTACTCGTGTTGGTAGGCAAGTGAGTGAGTAATGACATGGGTGTGACTACTTAACTGACTGACTGAGTTTGGTTTTACGCCGCTTTTAGCAATATTCCAGCAACATCACGGCGGGGAACACCAGAAATTGGCGTGACTACTTAAGGTTTCGGGCAATCGTGGTTAGATGGCTAACAGAAATATTGCACCTGCTTGTATATTGGTCGAGCCTCTACCAATAGGAAATATTTGGTACTTCAATGGGCATGGCTGATCTACATGATTTATATGTATTCATATCACAGACTAAACATGTTTTCGGGAGAAACACTACGAACACACCTGAACATGCTACAGTATCTCCGGGATTTCTCGAGGATTCCGAAGTAAGTGCCCTCGGTCAGTGGTGGTAGGAATGCATAGTACGACTAAAATCTCTTGTTTCTCTTGTTCACGTGACTGTTTTGAACGTGTTTCGAGATATTTAGACAATAACTAACGAGGGACGGGGAATGGCAGATTATCTTTCCCTCGTTATATTAATTATGTATATTACCCACATATAACCCAAATCAGTTTTCGATCTAAAACAATGCTACAATGAAAACTGCTGTTTTTCTATGAGGATACCCGCGATTTGGGGATTTCCCATATCCCTACGCGTGTGGTGCGGTTTCATTTCATTCGCTGGAATCAGCCATTCAACGTTCACCAAAAGGTGTAATCATCCTAGGGACTTACAGGAAAATACTACCCTTGTCCTTCTTCCCATATGGGTAATACACAATATACATAATTTGTATTATATCCATAAAATCAGACTTAATGCGGAGATCATAGTGAACATATGTTTCAAAAGACTACATTGCTGGGACGGAAAGTAACGGAATGAGCCGAGGGAATCAAACCCGCGGTGTGATATCAAGTGATGCCGTACGTAATGACTGGAACTAGTATTACATGAACAACACACTATTCCATTGTGGGTAGCGGACGGAATGCAAATATACATTTGCCCCACATGACATGTGTATTTCAAAATAATAACTTTGAATGACAGAATAGATTTCACCACTTGTCCCCCGACCACTTATAAAACCCGAACAAACAAAACAAAGCACCAGCAAAGAAAACAGAACTACATCAACACAACCAAGATCAAGGGATAAACTAGTTATAACTGCCGTTAATCCCATGGTGTGACCTAGACCGCCGTAGAACCAGCCCATGGGTATTACTTTACGACTATCCATAATTGAATAAGAATTCGAAACGCTACGCTCCTCGAAGGTGAGTGGGTTGGACCTGATGCCGCTTTTAGCTGTATTCCAACCAAATCACGGCAGGGGCACCAGAAATGGGCTTCTCACATCGCACCCAAGTGGTGAATCGAACCCGGCCTACGACGTGACGAGCGAACGCATTAACCACTAGGCTACCCCAACACCCCCTCCTCGTTTGGCATGGTTCCATGGTGCTTTTCGGGGGATATAAGTGTTACGATTTTCACAATACCACATCTACGAGAAACATTCTAATAACCAAGAATTATTACTGATCCAGGCGTGTTCATCAATAAGAGCAACATATTTGACATACCGCGGTACCCAGCGATATCGGAAACAACCTATTCAGCAATCTCTTCCCCCAATTTCTGTCTGCTCTGAATGTACAGGTTCATTGAATGAAGCTTCTGACAAAGGAGATGACTCCATTCCTGAGTCGAATACCGCGCCACGTGTCTCGGGACCGATTTCGCTTTCAGAATAAAACACATCGTCACGTGACTCGGAGAACGGCTCAGAAACACAACTCGACTCCGATATTGTAGACTGACGACTTGACCGTATTCCTCTGTCACTGACAGAACCTACGGCGCTCTGAGGCAACGTCAACCAGCTTGACGTAAGGCAGTTCTTACAGGTGAAGTTAACCGTCACATTACTGGTGCCCGACACGCCACTGCCTATGCTGAAGGCATCCCCGATTACCGTGTACTTTTCTGTGCTTGACGCCCGACTGTAGATGGTCTGCTGGTCGTCGGACCTAACACTGGGATCGTACTTCCAGCACGTGCTTCCGAAAGTCCTAATATGGTCATTCATAGCATCGACGTAATGTAGGAATTCTTGAGCTTCAGGCATGTAATTGGGAACATGAATTGTCTGGTTTCTGGCCAGACACTGCAGGAGCTCATCCATGTATAAATGTCTCTGTCCCGTCGCCGTCGTTTCTGTAATTTTGAAATATACTCCTTTAAATAAGAGTCTACATGAGTCCATGAGTTTGTTCAGGCTGTCATTGCCATGCTCGTAGCCAAAAGACACCGGAAGTACCATTTGTGATCTGGTGGTGGTGAAGTTCCTCTCCCTGAGGTATCCCAGCGCCTTTGAGCTGTAGTCGGCGAACATATCAGACTGCAGCTTGCTGACACACACGCCCTGCTGGCCATTGTGGTGGCCGAACAGTTGATACAAGCCTTCAGAGGCGACGACAATGACGACCGTTGGCGGCTCTAGATTCGTCGTAACCCAATCTGAGATGTTACAGAGGTCGTGTCTGCTCTGTTCTCTCTCGACGACCACCTCGGCGTTCAACAGCGTCCTCAACAGCCGTGCAAACGCCCTGACTGCCTGGATGTGAAAGTCATGGTCAACGCCATAAAGAATCACTACGCGCGGTGTTCCACCGTCCGTACCAGTCTCCGCTGTACCTGTTAAAGAGAAGTGTCACCTGCATATAGGCTGCTAGTTGCACGTGGTAGGTTTTGGAGTGGGCTGGGAAAAGTAAATCAGGGGCGTTCTACATTTTCCATTGTTATCCTAACTCAATAATATTAACAACGGGATCGGGTTGTCAGGCTCGCTGACTCAGCACATGACATCGTAGTATCAGTTGCGGAGATCGATCGGAGTTGATCACTGGATTGTCTGGTCCACATTCAATTATTTACAGACCGACTCCCTAAAGCTGGAATATTGCTGAGTGCGACGTTAAACAACAAACCAAACAAACCATATATGGCATATAATTAATATATCTACCCTTCGTCGTTTCGGTAGTGACGTCACAAAGACCACCTCTCTTATCCACAGCTTATGACATAATTTCTCTCTCTCAAAAAAGATGTCAATCAAAATGTCTCCTTTGAACGCGAGAACTATTGAGATCATACATACCCAGCTGCGTGTAAACTACACCAAACGGTACGCTGGGCTTGGACTGTTTCGTATTTTTACGAAGCCTGTTGGCGCAAGGCAGGGAATCTGAAACAAAAATGAAACAACTCAAACCTTGCACCTTAAGCAACACCCGTGTTAGGATACCACTTATAAGGATCGAGTGTCTTCTTTCAGCGATGTCCACCGAACAGGGCAAACAAAGCTAGCTCTTGTATATTCAAATTTTAAACTCGTGACTGAAAAGTTTTGTCTTTTTTCACCTTTTTATAATAAAATACGTAAACACTGTATTCAGTAATATACCGGCGGTGATAAGCGAGACTGGGATCCACGCACCAACACGTGAGTACTCAATTCTTGCACGTGACCTGCGAACAAGGTTAAATCATTTCTTGTTTTTACTAATGAAACGTCCATGCTGGTGCTGTGCTACAAGGGTGGTGGGGTAGCCTAATGGTTAAAGCGTTCGCTCGTCACGCCGAATACCCGGGTTCGATTCCCCACATGGGTACAATGTGTAAAGCCCATTTCTGGTGTTCCCCCGCCGTGATATTGCTGGAATATTGCTAAAACTAAACTCACTCACTCACTCACTCTGTGTTACAAGGGCGTGTGATTATTACACCAGCCATTGAACCATTGCACTCCATTTACATGGCTAGCTTCCTAGGAAGAATACGACCCAGGCTGGCAGCACAGCGCAAGAAGGTGAACAGGTACGGTACGGGGTATACCCCTTCACTGTCAACTGTGAATATCCGGGTTAGAATTGGTCATCAGTAACCCATGCTTGTCGTAAGAGGCGACTGTCGGGTTCTGGTGGTCAGGCTCGCTGACTTGGTTGAAACATAGCATCGTATCCTAACTGCCTAGATCAATACTCATGATGTTGATCACTGGATTGTCTTGTCCAGACTCGATTATTTACTGACCGTCACCATATAGCTGGAATACTGCTGAGTGCAGCCTTAAACAACAAACCCAAACAACCATTCACTGCAGCCAGAATAGATGCATTTTCGAAGCAGACACGACATGTACTACAATATATACATTGCTTCGCACAATCCAACGACCCTTAAATTGTGACCCCAATTTCCTATTTTAAGCACTCACAAGAACCCAAAATTTCCATTTCGCACAAAATCCTCACTCCCGGCCCAGCGAGGTTTGACCAGATTATTTCTTTAACTGGCTTAAACAAAAGTTTCTGTTCGTCCTGTTATACCACGTAACTGACCTTTCTTGAGGCACATGACACCCATGACAACAGCGCTGATCACTGCTATCGTCGTCACCGCAACCATGAAGTAGAACGCGGCCATATTGTCCCGGATAGTGGTCGCAATGCTTGGTCGCGTTACTGCGTATTCGATAGGATCTTCTGTAACATAGTAATACATTTTGTTTAAATGGCGGTGCAGTGTTATAAAGCTTGAAACAGTGAAAGAAGATGGCTATATTCTTGCTATTTTAGTCAAGGACAAATGTACATTGAAGCCTCGCTACGCTGGAACCCGATTGTCCCAACCCGTTCTGCACCCCTTGAAGATCCGGGTTAGAACTTGTCTCCAGCCACGCATGCGTGCTTGTCGTAAGAGATGACAAATAGGATTGGGTGGTCAGGTTCGCTGACTTGAATGATGCATGTCATAGTATCCGATAGATGTAAATCGGGGGTTCGCCTGGTGCAGACTCGATTATTTACAGGTTTAGGGCATACAACTCAAGTGTAGCAATAAACGACAAAACAAAGGGTTAGCACACACGCTTCTTTGAACATTATTTCGTTTGTATCAAGGCTGGGTGAGTGAGTAAATATTGTTTAACGCCGCATGAAAACTCTTGTAGCTGTGGGCAGCGACAACATGATGTAGGACTAAAGCCCAAAAGTGATTGCCATAGATTATCATAATGACAAGGGTATGGAGCTGACAAGCCGAATATTACAATCAGGGAAACCTTGGAAGAACCCCCAAGTAGCGGATCCTGGCACAACTGCAGAACACAGTTCTGTGAAGTGAAATGCTGTGGCCTAAGTAACAGGGCATTCGTGCCGTCCCCTTCCATTTCTTTAATGTAGTCAGTACACCTCCATTCAGCAACGGTGCGGTCGGGTAGCCTAGTAGTTAAAGCGTCCGCCCTGAAGACCCGGGTTCGATTCACCACATGGGTACGACGTGTGAAGCCCATTTCTGGTGTCCCCCGCCGTGATATTGCTGGAATATTGCTAAAAGCGGCGTAAAGCCATACTCACTCACTCACTTTCGCTCGTCAAGCCGAATACAAGGGTTCAATTTCGCACATGGGTAGAATGTGTGAAGCCCATTTCTGGTGCCCACCGCTGTAATATTGCTTGAATATTTGCTAAAAGCGGCGTAAAACTAAACTCACTCACTCACTAGAACTGCTGGCGTCTATAATTCTGTACCTGTGCGTGGGGGAAACACTTGGATGGGGTCACTGGAAATCGGGTCCACGTGACATCCCCCAGTCTCTCGTTCCGGACAGTTTGAGCAGATTGGTTTGATCTGAAGGCACAAAAATACATACACATCTACATATTTTACAAGTTATAAAAGTGTTGGTCAGATTTCTGTATTGACTTTCTGCATTTGCAGAGCCACGGTCTGCTGTGTATTTGTGATTGAATTATACCCACCCGAGCTTCGTAGTTTCCATACTTGACATCCCGGAACGTATAGTCTGTGATATCATGTTCATATATCTGAAAGTAATATGTAATTTTATTAGACATTGAAAAGTGAATGAGTAAGTTTTAAGCAATATCCCAACAACATCAGGACTGGGGAGGTCTTCGGCATGACGAGCAAACGGTTTAACCACTAGGCTACCCCACCGCCACAAACATTGAAAAGTTATGTACTGACAATTGATATAATTACTTTCATAAAAACAATACAAAATAGAAAACCCAAAATACAGATTGTACTTTAATTCAAATACGAACCCGGTTCTTAGCATTCACATGCTGGCCAGGGCTTGCTATTGGTCTGCATGATAAACAAGCTTCAGAATTGTATAATGAACACCTTTTTCAGGTAACAAAAAGGACGGTGGGGTAGCCTAGTGGTTAAAGTGTTCGACCATCACGCCGAAGACCCGGGTTCGATTCTACAAACACGTTTACAAAGCAAAATGTCTTTAAAGTATGTATTTTCCTGCTAATATTCAAGATACATGTATCATATTAATTAAATAGTCTGGAAACTTTTAAGTGTAGTGCAGAGCAAAACATTCCTTCAACATTTTACAAGTGTCATATATTTATATAAACTGATTTTATTTACATAAACATATTGTGAAAATGCAAACAGACATAAAACATTTAGCTTTGTCAAAGTAAAATTTATTATTTGTAAGCGTAAAATACTTTTTAAAATGTCGATATCGAAACGCAACACTTACATCATAAGACCTGAAGATGTGTCTGGTAACTATCTTATGTTCATGAATAGGATGGTTTTATTACTGAAGATGAAAGTGAAACAGTATTTATAAAATTTAGTATAAACAAAGTATATAACTGGAGAACAGGATGTTTTATTACTGAGATGAAAGTGAAACAGTATTTATAAAATTTAGTATAAACAAAGTATATAACTGGAGAACAGGATGTTTTATTACTGAGATGAAAGTGAAACAGTATTTATAAAATTCAGTATGAACAAAGTATATAACTGGAGAACAGGATGTTTTATTACTGAGATGAAAGTGAAACAGTATTTATAAAATTCAGTATGAACAAAGTATATAACTGGAGAACAGGATGTTTTATTACTGAGATGAAAGTGAAACAGTATTTATAAAATTCAGTATGAACAAAGTATATAACTGGAGAACAGGATGTTTTATTACTGAGATGAAAGTGAAACAGTATTTATAAAATTCAGTATGAACAAAAAGTATGAAAGTGGAGAATATGTATTTATAAACAGTACATAAAATTCAGTATAAACAAAGTATATAATTGGAGAACAGGATGTTTTATAATCGTTATTTTTCCTATGACTTTTTTCCGATCACCCTTCTAGATGGCTACCTGTATGCCAAGAGCAAGGTGAAAGGAGAAATTGATTATGTTCAAGTGACTTTCTAATAAGTGTTATCTGTGCACTGACAAACACAAATAATATGGGGCTTGGTCACATGTTTGATAGGTACATGTATATAAATTATTGTTTTTGATAATATTCACAAGTAAATGTGATCTGGCAAATACATGTAGATGTACATATATGTTGATGCAATATGTCTTAATTTAATATTCATAACTCATTACATGAATTGATATAACTATAGTTAATGCCTAATGTTGTCTTTTTTATCTGGGCCCATACCATTATTATCAAGGGTACAGCCTTATGCCTTAATTAAGCCTTATGCAAGCAGCCATAAAATGTGTTGTTTTAAGCGGTCTGACTTTTGGGAGGTCTGTCTTATGGGAAGATACCGTGCTATGGAGAACGCTTTAACCACTAGGCCACCCCGCCGTCCCAATTCAAAATAGACTTTCTGCCAGTCTAAGTAAACTTTGGCTCAGTATTATTCGTTACAATGCTATACTGAGTCTAACTGAGTCTAACAAGCCATATTAGAGTAAGTTCGCTTAGACTGACATTCTGCATTTGAAACTCCATCCTTAATTTGTAAATGAATAATACCTACCCGAACTTCGTAGTTTCCATACATGACATCCTGAAATGTGTATTCTGTAATGTCCTGTGTATACATCTGCAAGTAATGCATAATTTTTTTTCAATTAGACAATGAAAAGTTAATGTTACAAATGTATACATAATGCAAATGTACTGACATATTCTGTGATATCCTGTATATAGATCTGCGAATAGCACATCGTTTCTTTAAATTAGACATTGAAATGTTGATGTCACAAATGTATTATATATAATGAAAATGTGCTGACAATTTATATATTTATCTTGATATAGATAGACTTTATATTGATTAAAAACAGTCCGGTTCTTAGCATTCACTGTCCGGGTTCTGTTGCTATTGGTCCGCATGATACAGCTTAATGTTCTAGAGTAGTGAGTACGTGAGTGAGTTTAGTTTTTACGTCCCTTTTAGCAATATTCCAGCAATATCGGTGCGGGGGACACCAGACATGGGCTTCACACATTGTACCCATGTGGGGAATCGAACCCGGGTCTTCGGCGTGACGTATGAATGCCTTAACCACCACGCTACCCCTTTGTAAATTGGATCAGTTTGCTACACTAATCAACTTCTCATTTACTGACTTCGGCTTATGTATACTAGATTGCTGTTGTTTGAATCTCATGGGACCAAATTTCCTTCTCGAGTCATCGTGTGTATTTATGAGACGAATTCGTGTAACCGGTATTCAAATGATGACAACTATAACAGGGAATGGTCAGGACCGACAGGTACTTCGAGTTATGCATAATATTCGAGACATCGGCATTCGACTCATCGGGATTTGACTGTATGCTATGTCTGTATATACTGATTATAATGTCAAATGTATTAAATAAAATGTCGATACCCGGGCGTAACACTCACCTCATAAGACTTGTACGAGTGACTGGCAACTGGTTTATCTTTTCCTATGTCGAAAAGGTAGATTTCAAGAGAACCCTCTTTGAACGGTGGGGACCACGTGACTTTGATAGTTTGGTTAACAAGAATGAGAGTGATGATGTTTGGACGCCAGTTGTAGCAGCCGACAGGGGTCGGTGTCGTCGCTTCTAAAAATGAAACATAAACCTTATGTCGCCTTCAGTAATTTTTTCACCTGAATTATGGCAGCCTCTAAATAATCACGCCTGGGCAAGACAATTAGGTGATTGATATTACAAGTAACAGTCCGCGCCTTCGGGGCATGATGACACAACCAAACAAGTCATTTGGGTAAGACCGCCCTATCCTTTGGGTCCCATCCTTACCACACGCATATGAAGTCTAACTAGGCTTCTTTGCTACTTATTCGCAATTACGACACCAACATGTTAACCTCGTCATGCCGAAGTTCCGGGTTCGATTCCCCCACATGGGTAAACTGTTCGAAGAATTCTTCGTTCCCATGCCTTGAAATTGCTGGAATATTGCTAAAAGCGACGTAAAACCTTACTCACTCATTCAGAAGAAGAAAAAAAATAAGCGAAATGATTATTATGTCTTTTCTTGCGAATCTTATTCATCTTGGTCTGTTTTCGTTGACTAGACTGAAAAAGTAGTTCCGGCATTTTTAAAAGTGTTATTTTATACAAACAACACGTCATTACTTACGAGAGAGTGAAAATATCTGGGTTCATATTTTTCATACGATGCCTTAGGGCAAAGTATCACTTTGTCACGGTGACGTGACGTCATTAACAATGCTATGACGTTGCATTCTATATGCGACGACGGCGGGTAGCCAGCCTATGTTTGAAAGTAGTTTTAGGTTTATTTTCCTCAATTTGACGACTTCGGTAATAAACAGAATATCACATTCGTGCCCACATCGTACTATGGTTTTGTAGATATTTTATTACCTACGAGGGAGAAAATATCGGGGTTTCTAAGATGCTTCGGTGAAAGATCAAAGGAGCTGTTTGCATTACGTCAGAATGTATTGTCGTCACTGCGCCATTCTAGTCTACCCCCTCGTAATCGAACAATTTTGCATACGTCACAATGCAAGCGACGTCACGATGCATGTCAGTAAACTACTCCGTTGCATTCCGTTTCTTGGTATATTATGTTTTCTGCCTTTTTAAATGTCTCAATTCGACTCGCAAGTTTTCAGCGACACGGTAACGTTCGCAATGTTTACATTCCCACAATGCAATCGTGGAATGTCGCTAGACTACTCAGCTTCGTCTGGATGTACTGATCTAAACATACGTTGGTAGTAGAAATGCGACGTTCACATGGTTTACGTTAATCACAGATGTAATTAAAATACTTTAGAGAAGATATTTAATCCGAACGTAAACCGTCATGAAACTGTTTATCATTTGTTTTTCTGGTAACGTTCGTCTTAACGTAGGGGGGAAGACACATCAATAGAACAGCGCGCCAGTTAGCCCTGTGCGAGGATTCTTAATTTAGATCACCGACACCGCCGTTTGTTTTCTGCCTTAAATTAATCGTAATTATCCTTAGAAAGTATTAAATTTGGCATCTTAGAAAAGAAATACACTTCGCTCTTCCACCATGTATAGTGTAATAAAACACACTTTCGCCCTGAACTATTATGACGTTAAAGCACTCGGACGCAAGCGTCCTCGTGCTTTAACTTTAATAGTTCAGGGCAAAAGTGTGTTTTATTACACTATACATGGTGGTAGAGCGAACTGTATTTCTTAAATACATGGTGGTAGAGCGAACTGTATTTCTTTCATACGATGCCCTAGGGCAAATATCAACATGGTGACGTGACGTCATGAACAATGCTATGACGTCACGTTCCTTCTATGACGTTGCGTTCTACATACGGCGACGGCAGGTAGCCAGCCTATGTTTGATAGTATATTTAGGAGATAAACCTACTGTGTGAAGGAAAATCAGGTATATAACGAAATTATAATAGTTTCTAAATTTCATTTAAAACCGAACGCGTAGCGTGAGGTTTTAAATGAACAATTTAGAGCTATTATAATTTCGTTATATACCTCTGATTTTCCAACACAGTAGGTTTATCTCCATTCTACCATGACAATTTTATGAACAATTTCAGGTGGAGCTCTTTCTTTGGTTACGAGTCAATACGTGAAGCGGCCTCGCATTCCAATCTCAAGTGGTATCGCCCGAAACGGGGTGTTTGGTGGCAAACCGTCAATGACTAACAAACTCCAGATTCAGTAATAACAAATCACGTTTTGTTTTTTCAATGCATCAATCACAAATCATTAACTGATAAGTTGGAAAACATATATCAAATAAGTTTCAAAAGCTTGGTTCACATTTGAAAATTCCACCGTAGACCCTTTCCCCACCAGAATAGTGGCAGCAACCTCATGGCCTTGACCTTTTCTCGAAGTCATTGTTTACATTTGGAAAGATGCGACAGGAGAGCCACTGACAGTTTGCGCAAGGTTAACCTGATTGTATGACTGAGATAGTCTTTGATATCTAATTACTGGTACTGGTACAAAAATTTAAGAGTAGGGGCGCTTTTGCTGTAACGAGAAGTCCGTGTTGTACCGAATTTAGATACTGTTGAATTTTGCGCCCTGTCAACTTGACGATTTCACGCACCTCTACGTCTGCGTGCGACAGCTGTGGTGACTCTTACACACTCATGTGTGTACTTTGTGCTCAAATTCGATTCTACGGATATTATTTTCTACATTTTGGAAAGTGTTTTGTGACCTAGTTGCTTCAAAGTGTAGTGAATTCAAATTGAATCGGATTGGCTGGCATGTTCGCGAGTCTGTTGACAAAGAGCCAGATTTTTGGTGATATTTCCGAAAGGATGGATCAGGACACGAGGGTGTACCTCTGGCATAAACACGGTAAGGTAATTAATTATACTTTAATAGACTACTTTAGATCAAGCAGTGTAATGGATAAGAGGGATCATGACTAAGCTAAATAACTTTTTCAACGATATTATACATTTAGAAAAAAAAAATATGTTGGGCTAAACAGAACGGTTTGCAGATTCTGTAGATCTAATTGTGTTTTACTACCGCTAAATTTGAAACAGTACAAATTTCAAAATATCATTTTGTTTGAATTGATAACCCAACTGTTTATTTATGTGGACGGAAGGCATTAGAATCTAAAATTTCTTCGGCGTTCGATGTTAATGCATCCTCCGTTACCGGATCAAGATCAGTGGCGATATCGTTGACGAAAGCTGATAATAAATTTAACACGGAAATTTTGTAGCAGTCTATTGCTGGATCTATTCTGACATAACATAGAATCAACGTAAACATATTTGTTTTGCTGAATTTTTATTCGGAAAGCAGACGATGTTTTGATCTTGTTCGACTGAATATTTGTTTCCATGCTTTCGAAGTACTTTTGTATGTATAAACACCTATTGCTGTGATTTACGCAAGTAGTGAGTCGTGCCCGTCATCGCTAAATCCATCTTTAAAGACATATGTGTAATTTCCGACAGTAAAATCGCCGTAATTTATCGATGCATCGGTAGGTTGTTCGGTGTCCGCCATGTTAGTGGGCAGACAAAAATAGTGCATTACCGTAAACCATGTATGATTGCGCACGGAAAACAGAGACCTGTATAACGTGATTATATACCTCTGAATGACTTTAATTAACCAATCACAATCCAGTGTTTACTGAAGTCATGGTAGAATTGGGTTTATTTTCCTCAATTTTGACGACTTCGGCAATAAACAGAATATTATATTCGTGCCCATATCATAATATGTTTAGGACACTCGTGCCTAAATATCGGTCTATATATGCTCACATTAATATTATCACTAAAAACGTAGTGTATGGAGTTAATCGACCGGGTGGCGAGATCAGACAGCACTGTTGATGAGAATTTCGTCCCTTAATATATAAACTACCGTAGAAAAGTAACTGTATTTATGAATATTGCGTACTTAGTTCGTATATGGAGGGTTGTTGAATAGCAAAGGAGTAACAGACACGGGGAACTACAGATGTCTACAGTATTATCATTAGTCCTAGGTGTGGACCAGCAGTGGCATCGGTGTAAGTGAGCGAGTGAGTTAAGTTTTACGCGGCTTTAGCAATATTCCATCAATATCACCGCGGGGGGCACCAGAAATGGGCTTCACACAATGTACCCATGTGGGGAATCGAACTCCTCGGCGTGACAAGCGAACGCTTTAACACTGGGCTACCCCCTCGCTCCCATTGGTGTAAGGAAATACTCACTTTGCTCGGGCGGAGGCGCCAGTTTGTGCGACATGATCCCGCCGACAGCGTTAACTAAACTGTTCATGGGCACAACGGTTATTAGTCCTTTGGGATCTTTGAAAAAGTGGTCACACTTGCACCGAATAGGTTTTGTTTTCCCCTGTGAATAAAAAGAACCTTATTTCAATTAAAATTATTCACTAAAATATTGTTGCAAAGTTTTCATTTCTACGTCAACATAGGGGAAGTGTTGGGTTGCTTTCTGGAGGCCCGTGAAGATCGGGTTGTCTTAAGCCACCAATGCTTGTCGAAAGAGGCGACAAAAGGGATCGGGTGGTCAGGCTTGCTGACTTGGTTGACATATTTCGCTGTATCCCAAATGTCTAGATAGATGCGCATTATACCAGAAACTGGTTTGTCTCATACAGACTCGATTATTTACAGACTGTCGCCATATAGCTGGGATCTTGTTGAGTGAGGCGATAAACAACTTGAAGGAAAATGTTACCTGGATTCACACTGTCTACGATGAATATGATACGAAGATATTTATAAAGATAATCATTTACATGTGTGTTTAGGAAGTTACTTAACATTGCTCACCTTTCCAATTTTCAAAGATGTCGAATTCACAAGGTAACACTCCGTTGAATTTGAACGGCTTTCTTTCTCAACACTGACTGCAAATACACGATCACCTGAAAAGAGGAAAATGTCATCAATTCTGGATTTATGCTCTAAACTGTATAGATATGGCTTACACATATATGAGTTCAGATAACTGTGTGTGTGGACAGAAATAATGGGTGACACCAGAGACCGACTTCATGAACACCTAACCACGTCACCATCGTACGACAACAGTCTCACCAACAACCATCACTTCCTACAACCAGGGGCGGTGGGGTAGCCTAGCGGTTAAAGCGTTCGCTCTTCACGACAAAGACCCGGGTTCAATTAGAGATATTCTCCAGAAAACTAAACTGTTCAAAGTAGTAACTCCATCTTACCATTTTCGCTTACTTTCCACTTTAGTGTTTTGGCTCTTGTTACAGCGAGTTGTCTCCCCTTGGATAGATCATCTTCTCGATCAGTTGTCGCTGACGCAATGGCCGACTTGCAGACTGAAAGATTTGACGTAAATGTTGATGACGGTATTTTAGTGCAAACAACTGCTAAAGACATATCATTATACAATGCTTATAAGAGATGCATTAAAGTCCAAAATAAAATAACTGTGCAGGCAATTTCTAATAGAAATTAAATTATATAGATCTAATTACAGATCCTTTTATACCGTTGTCAAGCAAGAAGAATCTGCATCGCACACACGAAATAAAAGAAATTATTATCCATAAACTTTGTCAATATTCCTGCTTGTCAACGGTACACGAATCTGTATTAAAACGTCGCACTCACGAAATTAGTTGTTATCCCTCTAAAGTTTGCCAATATTATAAATTTCCCAACTTCTAAACTTCCACTCAAAGAATTGTTCATATGAGATGTATTAAGGTTTTAAACATAATTACTGTATCAATGAAAGGACCGCTAATATTTTTTTCATACTCCAAGGAGGGTGAGAATGAACTTCGCGAGCACACCGAATATTAATCAAATTAATTAATCTAATTAATAAAGACGATAGGAGAGACGAATATAGTAAAAGGTATGTTTGAAAAACTAAATCAGGACTCGGCAATTAAAAACAACATCAGTCTCATTACCTGAGGGGTCTGACTGTGTGACCGAAATCTGAAAATAAGAAATAACATGATTAATTCTAAATCGAGCTAATTTAGAAAAATGTTTTGAAAATATTTCGTTTATCAAACGTGAACAAATAATTGGAAATATGTAACTCGATTTAAAGGCACACTGCACTCGAGCAAACTGGCTGCCCCATCAACACTGATTGCAGTAATTAAAGGTACACATTTTGTCTCCTGAGACAGTATCATGAATATATTATGTATAAATCATGCATATATCATGCATATACCATACCGGTATAGTAAATTATTCTCCGGGGCGCAGTAGGCCCGGTCGCCCAAGATCTGTGATCGAAGTTCGAATCACAGATTTGTCAGGGATATGTTATTAGATTATTATTGTCCCCACCATATTCATCCTCGTCGGTCTCATCCACAGATTATGGCCATCGATGGCCCCTCACTGCCCTGTCTGCCATGTTTGTTTGTTGTTTTCCCCATACACGTGGAAATTGACCAATGAGAGCCGTTTTGTGTTCCGAGTCATTCCGAGATTTTCGGACAGGGTCGATGTTTACCGAAGGGCGGCCAGACGTTTGTTCAAAACGGAGAGTAGTGCTAATGCGAGGGTCAGTGGTCAAATATGAACTGCAGTTAGACAAACTGAATACGATGAGCAGAAGGCCAAAAGAATAATCTACAAGCTCAACACATTGTTTTGAGAAAAACGTAAGGTTTGATTGAACGCGCGTTAAAATAGTCAGGCTGTCCGCTTCGCGAGTGTCACCCCTTGTGTATTTTATGTAATGAGTGTAGCGGGAGAATTTTCTTAAAACTCCATTTCTTCACCGATTTCGTTCAAATTTGAAATATGAGTTACTCATAACACATAAAAACAATATACGGTTGCAAAAATCTAGGTTTTTATTTTAAATAATATTGTCCAAACAGTGATTCGAACCCCTGTGGTTTCAACAGAGTAGCAAACTTCTAAGTTGTAAAATACCTGCATGAGGAGCCACTTTCCCCACACGTCAAGCGTGATATACACGTGATATATACAGTCTACCTGGTTATGACGTCACCATCTGTCCAACTAGATTTATGATGTTAGAACCAGGGTGGCATTATATCAAGGGACGTCAAATCTGTCGGTCGTAACCATGTCAAACATCAATACCCAATAATATAATAACCAATAATCAATAACCAGCAACAGAGAAAGTGTTACATCTTTCTTATTCAAGCATCAACGTTTGTGTAATAACTAGCACATAATAAACAACGCATGCCATCAAAGAACATAAACACAGTTGTTCTCAGCATTTTCGAATTCACTGTGGCTTGAAAAACTCACGTATCTTAAATACTGATAAAGGTCCCGTTAAAAGAAACCTTTACTGATTCGCCAACACAAAGACGGTGTCCCATTTTCTCACGTAATACTAATAACATTTTGACTATTATCAGTTTGTTTAAGTCCACACTTAAAGGAAACAAGAGTGAAACATTACTGACGGGTCTATTTAAGTTAAACGGTACTGATGACTCGTATGGATCCCTGGCAAAAACATCATATAGTTATGAAAAGGTCTATACTAAACGTTATTACAGTAAACATGCTCCGCCACCCCCCACCGCCACCCCCCACCGAATTATCACGCACACGCATGCACGCATAACGAGTTAATAAATAGCATGTGACTCCCTCACATATGAAATCAACAACGCCGATCGTTTCCTCTTGGTCATGTCACATGTTGCATTGTGGGATTTCGCTTTTCAATGAAAGCATCTGGGACCCAATCATAATCAGTTCATACAGGTACAACAGGAACAACTTTTTAAAATCTGTACCCAGATCTGTCCCCAGATCTGTCTCTATAGTTGGAAGTACTGATATGACCCACTAGCCCTTTTGGTATTGTCCCCTTAATATGTGATACAGATAGTAGTTTGAGATGGTCCCTAACTGGGGAATACCCTATTGTCATACGGGCACTCCTTCGTGCCCTGCGTGCAATGCGAGACACTTGACATGCTGTCAACAAGTACATTCATACACAGATTAATTCTCAAAGATTTCGCCTGAACAGACAGCACCCTTTTGAGGACTCTAAATTAAATACCCCCGTGTCGAATGGAGGGGAGTTCACGTGTGTACCAACTGATAGTCGGAGAGCAAGTGCGAGTTGTAAAGTTATCACATTAAAACAATCAATCAATTAATCACGATCAATCAATCACGATCCCGGAACAATTCTTAATTTCAGGCTGTGGCTATCTTGACTAGCCTAATCATTTTCACAAAGGGTTAGAGAGGGTTACATCGCTGACCTTTCTTGTGCTGGCGATCTGGTGCCTCGCTGTGAGAGTGTTAGACTAAGGCTTAGTCTCTGAATATATATAATTTTGATAGTAACAAACAAGCCCATTTAAATTGAAAAGGAGCCCTAGGGAGACCAGAGATGAACCTGGGGAAATTTAGACTTGCTTCGTTTAGGGCTTTAGCACTACAGGGAAGGCTAGGCTGTAGGGAAAATAATGTGGTTCAGGGACTGTGAGACAGACTATGAGAGTGTGTTCGCATCCCGGATGAGATTGAATCTATAAAGGGGTTCCTTCCGTTCCCCCATTTCTTTCTTCCGCAGATTAACAGAGGTAACGTAACGTGGTTCGACCCTATATATTGTTATTAATTGTGGGGCTTTTAGTTATTTTTGTGAGTTTTCTAGTAATTGGTGTGTTAGGTTTTGTTAATAATTTTAGCATATATCAATTTATAAATATTATTTGGGATGGGGGGACGGGAGGAACTCTTACCCTCTAAAGTACTAGAATGTATACATTATCAGAAAGAGTAACCCCAAATATAACATTTTGTTTCTATAAAGTCCAGACTTGAGCTGGTCTCCTTTTCTATCGGGTCTGGGGAGAGATCAGAGTAAAACAGATGGTAAATGTTGCGATGAATAATCAGCTGCTGTATTACAGTTATGTTGTCACAGGACGTCCTCTGCGACAACGCCGCCCACACGGAGACGCTGCACGTGTGTTCACAATATACTGCATGCATGCATCAGTGCCTGTACTGTGACAGCTTGTACAACCTCCGCTGCTCACGACTACGCCTACAGTCGTACACGGGCTACTCCTGGCTACATCCAATACTACTGGTAATAATACTGCCGCTACTCACACTGCCACAGCCATCACTACTACAACTATACTACTACTACTACTACTACTACTACTACTACTACTACTACTACTACTACTACTCCTGCTGCTGCTGCTGCTGCTACTACTACCACCACCACCACCACCACCACCACCACCACAGCCATCACTACTACAACTATACTACTACTACTACTACTACTACTACTACTACAACTACTACTACTATACTACTACTACAACTACTACAACTACTACTACTACTACTACTATACTACTACTACTACTACAACTACTATACTACTACCACTACTATACTACTACTACTACTACTACTACTATACTACTACTACTACTACTACTACTACTACTACTACTACTACTACTACTACTACTACTACTACTACTACTACTACTACTATACTACTACTACTACTACTACTACTACTACTACTACTACTACTACAACTACTACTACTATACTACTACAACTACTACTACTATACTACTACTACTACTATACCACTACTACTACTACTAATACTACTACTACTACTACTACTACTATACTACTACTACTACTACTATACTACTACTACTATACCACTACTACTACTACTACTACAACTACTACTACTACTATTACTACTATACTACACCACTACTACTACTACTACTGCTACTGCTACTGAAACTGATACTATTACTATTACTACTGCTACTACTGCTACTATTACTACTACTACTACTACTACTATTACTACTACTACCACTGCTATTATTACTGATTCTACTACTACTGCTGCTACTACTAATACTACTGCTACTACTAATACTACTGCTACTACTACTGCTACTACTACTACTACTTCTACTGCTACTATTACCACCACCACTACTATTACTACACGTCTACTGCAGCTTCGGATTGCTCTTACGACATGCACGCTACAACAGCAATAATATAAACAAGTACTTACACTAGTTTTTGGTCTAGTCGTCCAACACTGAAATCCCGTGCCATCTCGACCCCCCTCACCACGAGACATGGCCAGGAAGGCGACTACCAGCAGGGTGGGGACATGCATCGCGGGTAGTGCCGCAGCCCTGTGTGACGGAAGACACAGAGCTCATCGGTAATCACATGAAGCTGTCAAAACACTAACCCACGCGCTTACCCGCGCATGCGCTGTCTGAACGCGGAACAGTTCCTCAAACAGGAGGAAAACTTTGTACGAGGCGTGATAGATATCACAAAAGTGGGTCAATGTTGGTGACAGGTTACACTTGACGCCCTGTAACACAACAACACATCTCGACCCCGATATTTAATAGAGATACTGATAATATGTTTTTTCATTTGAAAGGATTTTGTTTCCGCGTTGGATAAGGCGATAAAGTGAGTTGAAAAGCTTTTTAGTTTAGCGAGGACTTGTTTCTTAAACAATGCAATAAATACCCTTAGCATACAGAACACCGGTGTTCTACCCTGGTTGTAATGGCACCGTTTGTCCAGGAGAAAATATGGCATTATATCCAGGGTGGCATTATAACCAAGTAGGACAGTTAGCGGCCCCATGCATGCAATGAACATGGTGGTTGGTCAATTAATCTGAGTCTTGTCAATTAACCAATTAAGGTATACGACCTGCAGCCGATGTAATTGGCATTTTACCCAGGGAAAATGACTTTTTGTTCCTAACACCAATAGCAAATGACATTATATCCAGTTTGGCATTATAACCAGGGTATGATATACTCATGCCAATAATGGTTGTCACCCCCTTCAATTTTTTTAATTGGAGAGGGTGTGTGGGGTTGGGGTGTGAGGTGTGTGTGGGGTTGGGTTGTGGAGGGGGGTGACAACCATTATTGGCATGAGTATATAAGCAGGAAATCCGTTCTGGCAAAAACATGGCATTATATCCAGGATGGCATTATAACCAGGGTGTAAATGGTATTATGTTTATGACCAGACACTATCTTTTAGTCATGTTGACTTTGCTTACGCGTGCTAATTTCGTATCTCAATTGTAAACAATAAACAAGTAAACAAGCTGTATCTATTATTGAATTGCAGTGGGTGAGTGAGTTTAGTTTTACGCCGCACTCAGCAATATTCCAGCTATATGGCGGCGGTCTGTAAATAATCAAGTCTGGACCAGATAATCAAGTGATCAACAGCATGAACATCGATCTGCGCAACTGGGAACCGATGATATGTGTCAACCAAGCCAGCGAGCCTGACCACCCGATCCCGTTAGTCGCCTCTTACGACAAGCATGGGTTTACTGAAGATCAATATTCTAACCCGGATCTTCACAGGTTTGAATTGGAGTGTCAACCAGTCGTTGATATTATGAACATCGATTCAGACGAGCTGAGGACGATGCCATGGTTACAGGGCCGCACACTGTATGCTAATCGCTATGCCAAGTGGTACACCTGATGACGTACAGACATCCTCACTTATCCAGGGGAGAATACCGCAGTGGTGAGATACAATCCTGGACCCATTTGTTTAGTAGAAGGAAACAAATCGTGTCTGAACCAGACACTCCAGTGATTGAGTAAGTAAGTAAGTAAGTAAGTAAGTGGCACTATAGAAATGGGCTTTACACATTGTACCCAGGGAGTCGAACCTGGGTCTTCGGCGTGACGAGCGAACGCTTTAACCACTTGGCTACCTCACCGCCCCTTGATATAACGAGCACCGCAAGGCTGATTAAGCTCGTTTCCTCCCCTACGATGAATTTTCATCCAAACGTGAAATAATACAAAGTGCCGATGTCTCAATTATGTAGAAAATTATGCGTATTTCTGATTAATTACTTCTTAATTACTACTGCACACCACACTTGTTAAACACCAGATCAGCTTGATCTTGCTGCTATTTTGTTGATTACAAATTCGTTAAGGGAAGGTAACTCTACTCACGTCATAAATGCATGTTAAAACTGATAGCATTGTTTACAACTTTAAACTGTCATATCACACAGGAATATGCCCAGGAAGTGATAAACAGTTTTTATAGTGATGTTTTTCGTATTTCAGTTTCCCGATCAACTTCTTGGTTGAGATTTAGTAAGTAACTGACTGACTGACTGAGTTTAGTTTGACGCCGCTTTTAGCAATATTCCAGCAATATCACGGCGGGGGACACCAGAAATGGGCTTAAAACATTGTGCCCATGTGGGGAATCGAACCCGGGTCTTCGGCGTGACGAGCCAACGCTTTAACCACTAGGCTACCCCACCGCCCCAAGTAAGTAACAGTTATATAAAACAATGAATATGATAAGGAATGTTTTTTGCTAACGCTACTCAAAATAAATTCCGATACCGCACCTTTTGGTAAAGCCGATCACGGAAGTCATCCCATTGTACTCAGGCATCAGAACAGGAGTGAAAGAATGTTGTTTTACACCGTAGTTATGGTTGGTTGGTTGGTTTTGTAACATCGCACTCAGCAATATGTCAGCTATATGGAGGCGGTCTGTAAATAATGGAGTCTCGACAAGACAACCCAGTGATCAACATCATCGGCATCGATCTAACGAACTGGGATAATATGAAATGTGAACGAAGTCAGCGAGGCTGACCACCTGATCCTGTTAGTCGCCTCTTACTACAAGCGTGGGTTGCTGAAGACAAATTCTAACCCGGATCTTCACGGGTAGCCACAGTTATGCCTGGCAGTCTGTAGACAAACGACTCAGAACCACCCACTTATAACGCGACGTATATAGATAGGGTTGTTAAGTGAAGAGTTTTATACGGTCATAAAAACCCTGATTCATCGGCTTTACATTTCCTGCAAAAGGTCTCAGTACTGACTTCCGAGTAGCAAGCTTACACTATTTTATATTAGGTTTTTCGGTGTGGAAATTGAACCACCTTTAAGTCCACAGCGTCTTTGCAGTTGAAATGAGCAAACTATGAATGAACGACTGACCGAGTTTGGTTTTACGCCGCTTTTAGCAATATTCCCGCAACATAACGGCGGGGGACACCAGAAATGGGCTTCACACATTGTACCCATGTGGGGATTCGAACCCGGGTCTTCGGCGTGACGAGCGAACGCTTTAACCATTAGGCTACCCCACCGCCCCCATGAATGAACGAAGATATTTTTGTAAAGAAAATGATTGTTTCCAAAATTGCTAGAAAATAATTTGCCCTTACATTTTAACAAAGTCGTTCACTGTAGCATCTGAGTGTTCAGGATATAGCGTGTTGTGGACCTGGGTGTCGTTGTACAAAACAACCTCGCTCAGTGCTACGCTGATCTTCCAAAAGCCTATACCAAAGCATTGGGGTTACGATCACCTTAGTGCTACGCTGATCGTAAGGCTATACCAAAGTATTGGGGTTACGATCTCCTTAGTGCTAAGATCGCTTTGTACAACGAAACCCAGAATCTCAACAACTCTCCATCCACGCATACCCTACCAGTACCAACCCACCTAACCATTAAGCCCACAGTCTCTACCCACGAGCTGGGATCCGTGACCTTTCAATGTAAATAATGAATGATTATATTATGATCATTTCAAATATTTCGATGCCTGAATGGGAGCCGAGTGAGTAAAGAGATGGCAACAAAGTTTTACAACTTAATTTGAAAGTAGCGTCTCTTCACTGCACGTGACCCACACCGCTTCATAACAGGACGGCCGCTGGCGCACCCGTTATCTCACCAGCGTCCTCAGCGCCGCTTGTTATGAAAGAAATAGTTAATAAACATCGCTCAATGCGTGGGCCAACATTTATTACTCGCTTCAGACACGACGGCATTTAAATCTGGTTTGTGCCACCAAAGGAATTTAAAAGAATTTTTTTAAATCGAAATAACCGTAGCGGCTTTCAAATCGGGGAGCTAATGTATTCATTACTACAAAAAACGTGCGCCCGTGAGCGTCCTTGAGATAATATGACACGGAACTAAGAGTCGCCAGCGTCTGTGTCCTACTTGCTGATGAGCGTAACGCTAGAAATAGGTGCTTGTTAGGAGATAATAATATTGTGTATGTGCGCGTGGCGTGCGTTTTTTATGTACATTTAACTGTTGCTTGTCCCTGATACAGTTTAATGCTCGGTTTGTGTAATGATTGTCTCTGTCAGTGCTCCACAGTCTGTGGTAGTTGCTTGAAAAGAAAAGACTGTTTGTAGCAACCATACTAGAAGTAGCACCAGAAGCAGCAGTATCCTAGGGGCAGTGTTAGCAGCAGCAGCAGTATCCTAGGGGCAGTGTTAGCAGCAGCAGCAGTATCCTAGGGGCAGTGTTAGCAGCAGCAGCAGTATCCTAGGGGCAGTGTTAGCAGCAGCAGTATTCTAGGGGCAGTGTTAGCAGCAGCAGCAGTATCCTAGGGGCAGTGTTAGCAGCAGCAGCAGTATCCTAGGGAGAGTGTTAGCAGCAGCAGCAGTATCCTAGGGAGAGTGTTAGCAGCAGCAGTATCCTAGGGGCAGTGTTAGCAGCAGCAGTATTCTAGGGGCAGTGTTAGCAGCAGCAGCAGTATTCTAGGGGCAATGTTAGCAGCAGCAGCAGTATCCTAGGGGCAATGTTAGCAGCAGCAGTATTCTAGGGGCAGTGTTAGCAGCAGCAGCAGTATCCTAGGGGCAGTGTTAGCAGCAGCAGCAGTATCCTAGGGGCAGTGTTAGCAGCAGCAGCAGTATCCTAGGGGCAGTGTTAGCAGCAGCAGTATTCTAGGGGCAGTGTTGGCAGCAGCAGCAGTATCCTAGGGGCAGTGTTAGCAGCAGCAGCAGTATCCTAGGGAGAGTGTTAGCAGCAGCAGCAGTATCCTAGGGAGAGTGTTAGCAGCAGCAGTATCCTAGGGGCAGTGTTAGCAGCAGCAGTATTCTAGGGGCAGTGTTAGCAGCAGCAGCAGTATTCTAGGGGCAATGTTAGCAGCAGCAGCAGTATCCTAGGGGCAATGTTAGCAGCAGCAGTATTCTAGGGGCAATGTTAGCAGCAGCAGCAGTATCCTAGGGGCAGTGTTAGCAGCAGCAGTATTCTAGGGGCAATGTTAACAGCAGCAGTAATCTAGGGGCAATGTTAGCAGCAGCAGTATTCTAGGGGCAGTGTTAGCAGCAGCAGCAGTAATCTAGGGGCAATGTTAGCAGCAGCAGTATTCTAGGGGCAATGTTAGCAGCAGCAGCAGTATCCTAGGGG